AATTGCATGGAGAATTACATTTTTTAGCGCGATTACCAAAATTTGTATGATAAAAACAATATCCGTTTTCAGGTTCTTTATATTTTCTGCGAGCTCTAGAATTGCTGCGATGTTGAGAATTCTTTCTTTCTCTGTTCGGGTTTCGAGACTGTCTCACATAAGAAGTGAGTTCGCTTACTTGTTTAGTGAGCTGAGCGACTTGCAATTCGAGTGCAGACGTTTTATCAGCGGCGACAGTGTTTACGTGTTGATGCGAGGTGAGATCATTGATTTTGTCAGCAACTGAAGCTAGCTGGTCTAATTCATCATTGAGGGCTGCCAAAATAGTTTGTACGTTGTTAGGGAGTCTACCAAGCCACAAAGATTTTAAGAGAGGAGTGCCCACATTATCACCTGCGAGTGCTCTCATTCGTGTTAATAATTGGGAAGGTCGCTGGTCACCTAATTCCAGCCCTTGAAGAAGGGTCCGAATTTTTGATTCCTCACTCTCGGAATGCAGCTCAATTAATCGTTTTTTGATAGCTTCGTATTTCTCAGTGTTAGGAGGTTTTAAAACAATATCGCTAATCGAACTTAAAACATCTGAGTCGACCGCTGCAAGTACGTAATTAAACTTTGTATCATCGGTGGAAATTTTAGCCAAAGTGAATTGTGCTTCTAGCCGGACAAACCACAAGGCGGGATTTGATTTCCAAAACGGAGGTGGTTTGACTGCCACGTGAGCAATTTGATTTTCGTCTAGAGTTTCGTTAGGCATTGCGGAATGTTTAAACAAATTAAAAGAAAATTCTCAAATAAGTCGTGAATTTAGTTAACAAATTTGATTATGGATTATTATTAAAAATAATGTAAATATTGATGAACGCGAACATTGCTATAACAAAAATGCCATGTTTAGTGAGAAGTAAAAATAACTATTAAATTAGACGGTAATAAGAAATAAAAAAAAAAAGCCACACAAGAAAATAAAAGTTACCGCGTGATACTCCTAGTGGAAACAAAAATAGACTTACTGAAATTGTTGAAACGCCATATCCTAAGTTGATGTTGAACGCATGTTCGGAAAAAGGGTCACCAATTTGGTAAATTGAGTTTTTATAAGCGTTAAAGCAAATTACCAATTAAAGTTTGAAGAATAAATTTAATTTAAACATAATTAATTACAAATAAATACAGAAAGTTAAAAATGAAATTAGGATTATTGTACAGCCATGCATCACCGACCGTGCCACGAGCTAAAATGTGAATATCGTCGGTTGCTTGTAGAAAAACTGGTTTTACGTGACTCCTGCAAGTTGAAGTAAAAGTTCTTTTTTTTTGCATCACCAAGTAAAGGTGAGATTACAGGGCCAGGGCACCGCCGCAGTCCTTTAGCTTTTTTATTCCGTCATCGACTTCTTCTAATGTTGGTGGTTCCACAATATGTTATAAATTCCTGTGTCTTCTGTAGGTGGTTCATGTTCATCGCTAACTCCATTCAGTAGTTCATAAAAATGCTCATTCCATCTCTCCAATTTTGTTAGTCAAGATTGCTCCATTCTTGTCACGACATGAGGTAGTTCTGTTCTTAAATTCCTTTCGTCCTAGGTTTATTTCCCGAAAGAAAGCTCTGCTTTCATTAGATCCCCTTAAATGTTCGACAGTTTTTAAAAGATCTTCGAGAAATGCCTTCTTTGTTTTATGAATTCTCTTCTCCTCCCTTCTTGCCTCTTTGTATTTGATCTCAGCATTTCTAGAATGTCTCGTATTCAGCATCTTTTTATATGGTTCCTTCTTTTTTTCTGTTGCCACTGTCAAACCAATCTTTCCTTTTAATTTTCTTAACTTTTTCAGCAACCTCGTTACCAGTCTTAAAGATTGTTTCCTTCAAAGAGTTCCATTTATCGTTTATGCTATCTTCCTCCTTATGGTTATCCTTAGATTCTTTAAGGTTACTGTCAATTTGATTTTGGAATTTGATAAGCTCAAATTCCAAATTGCCTCATCTTTTAGTTGTTTACAGTCAAACTTTTCCAAGCATTTTCCTCGAATGTTGGAGATTCTAGCTCACAGTTTTGCTATTATTAAAAAGTGATCTGAATCTAAGTGGGCACCTCAGTAGGTTCTTACGTTCTCAATATCCGATTTATGCCTGAATCAATCAAAAAATGCTCGATTTGATTGAATGTGATTCCATCAGGAGATCGCCAGGTCATTTTATGTATCTTCTTATGCTGGAACATTGTGCTTGGTATGATCATATTATGATCTGCAGCAAAGTCAATAAGTATTATACTGCTATAAATTTTTACCACAGGGTCCCCGCGGTACTTGAAAGTCTTTGAATTTTGTTGAAAAAATCAGGACCCTGAAAATTCCTTAAATTCTGCTATAGGGTACTTGAAAAGTACTTGATTTTTTAGGAATTAAAATAATAATAAATAATTTCAAAGGAAAGTTATAGAAATTCTGATGGATGCAATTTTTAATGCTTAAAGTGAAAGGGGGTTAAAGAAGAGGCAAAACTTTTCTCTCCTAAATTTTTCACACCAGATTAATATTCATCTCTCTGATGTTTTGAAAGCTGAAATTTCTAGCAAATTTTAGGTTTTGTAGTCATAGTTTACAAATGATATATGGCGTTTAATCGATTTAGAAATATGTTCAATGTGTTAATTTCATTATTACGATTGGTTAATATTGTTGTCTTATTTGTTTTTTTCATTTATGTACGAAGAATGATTAATTTTTTATCATTTATAATCAAATTTTTACATTTAGTTTTTACTGCTAATAAATAAAATTTAGTTCTGCAGGTTTTGTTGATTATAAATAAAGATAGTGATTTACATTAAACTGATTCTTGATTTACGGATCGGAATTCATATAGAATGTTCTACGAATTCCGATTTTAAATGAAAGTGATTAATGAATCACATATCAAATATTGCTTTAAAGTGATTTGCAAATTTGTCATAAGGATTTATATTAACACATTTTAATATGTTAGATCAAATTTTATGTTACAGGATATGTATATAATAAGATAAAATTTTAAAATTTATCCATTTAGCATATCTGTTTCAATTTGAATAACAAATTATCTGTTTTGTTACTTCAGAATATCAAAATATTTTTTGCAGAATAAACTTATGAACAATTTAAATAAATTCATTAGATCATTTATTAACATGAAGCACTTACGACATATTTAATAAATTAGTCTATCTTTTTTTTAAAAAAGTCAGCAATATGTTTTTACAAAGCTGTCACAGGTCATATAAATTTATAATAGTGGTTTAGAATTATCTTGTAGAAAATAAGATATTTGAAAATAACTTTTGTTAATGTTTTGAATATGAAGAGATCGTCTGAAAAGTTAATTCTGTAATATACTCAGCCACCCTGACCCCTAAGTCTGAGACTTTGCCCCTTAATGATTATGCTTATTATTTAAAAAAGTTAGTACATAATTTTAGGTTTAATTGTTAAATTTGGCTTAAATATTGATATGGCACTTTTTTGCTGCATCCATTTTCTTAAACGCACATTTTGAGCCTTGTCAATTTTCAATAATTCAATAATTTCCGGTATAATTCAATAAATTCCGGTCAATTCAATAATTTCCGGTAGATAAACACAATCTATTTCAAAGTTGAATTATCGTGATGTGCGGCACATTTTTTGTGCAGCCATCAACGATTTCATTTTTCCACGGGCTTCCCCTGAACATTCTGCAAACAATATAGATTTAATCAAGAGTAAATGTTTGCAAAAATTTTGTCAATTTTCAGACCAATATCAATTTTCTCAGAAAATGGTATATTTTTCTCACTTTTAATCAATATTTTTTATTAAAATATAGTAGGGTTAGACAAGTTTGTTTTTGATAAACGATAGAATATACTGCCTCAACTAAGAATGTGCAACTAAGTTTGCATAGAAATTCAGATTAACATCAACAAGAGATTGGTGAGGCACGTTCATGGAGAAAATGAAGAAGAAAAAAGCTCTTGTGCAGCACATTTTGAGCTGACTACTTTTATGCTAGAAAGTTTTTAAGTTCACTTTCATATGTGATACACTGCTGCCAAAAACTTTTTTTTCTTTTCTTGTTGTGCTTAATGATGGCTAAAATTTTACTAAAATTGTAATTATAATAAAAATGATCTAAATTTTCAATGTTTTATCTGAGTGCTACCTGTATTGCGGTACAGCCTTTTTACTGAATTTTTGCAAAATCCTTTTTCTTAAATATGTATTCGGAGCTTGTCCATTTTCGTAACTAAGCATTTTTAGCTTTATTTTCTTAAAGAGACATATTGAGCTATGTCCAGAATAAAAAGCTCACTGACAACCTCAAAAATATGTTCCTTTTTTTTTCAAAACTCTTTACTACTATAAAAGCTCGATGTACAAGACTTCCACTTTTACGAAGATTTTCTGATTCACGTTCAAAATTCTATTATTAAAGATTATAATGGTTATTTGGATGATAAATTCAAAAGTGTCAATCTACTAACGTTACTTATCAAATTTAGAGCTTTGTTTATATCTATTATTTACATTTATTTGGTGATCATGCAACAAGTCTGGAAAGCAGAGCTATTACATTGCTCCCAAAGAATGTAAATTGGAAAATATTTTTATTCTTTAAATTTTTATAGTTAGATTTAAGTGTTAAATGTTTGCATCAACTTAACATAAATAAAGTAGAGGATAAAAGCCAGGTAGTCTGTAGATCCTGTATCCAATAGCTCCTAGCAAAAAGAATAAAATTGTTCTCCTGTTTAACGCTTGCAGATGTTACTGTTTACTGAAATAGATGTGAGATAGAAATTGTTCATTCGCCATATTGCTCTCTACTAGAAAGATATGAGTATTGACAAGAATAAACTCATAAAATTATCATTTAATTATTATTATTTTACTTATAACTGATTTAAAACAGATTTTTACCTTTGCTTCATTATCTATAACAATTTTGTTTTTTTGCTATATAATTTCTGATATTCTTTTAGATTTACATGGAAACAGTAAAAGATTTATTGAAGAACCAATCAACATACATTCCTGGTGATTCAAAAGAGGCTAAAGTATGAATTGCTTTTATATTGCATCTTTAAGTATTCAAAATATTAATGTTCAGGGTGGCCACCCACCTGGAATTATCAGGAAATTTTTTTAGACTGGAAAAAATCAGGGAAATTTGGATAAAAATCAGGGAATTTTAAAGAAAAGCTGGAAATGTTTTGTTTGATAATTTTTTTATTTCACTAATTTAAATTATTTACTAATTTTCTTAATTTAAATTATTTCATCCATTATACCCACTTTTTTTAGACTGAAATGTATCTCCTAACAGTTGAAATATCATTGACTTAGCAATACTTAGTTTGCATGAAAATTTGCTCCATTGCAACTCTGTTAAACTAGAATGCCACATAAAATTTTCCCACGGTTGCTAAACAAATGTAGAAACCTTTGACAGCCATGGGACTGTGCAATTTGCGAAAAATTGTGGTGGAGGTGGAAGAAGGGATTAGGATATTAGCTTCTGTTTTTAAATTCTCTGTCCTTGGGCTGAATTCATTTATGGCTCAAGTTTGTTCCGATGCTTTCGTGGTAATATTTTTCCATTTTGACAAAAATGTTTTTGTATTTTTAACTTTATAAAATTCTCCAAAAATTAGTTGGTTATAATTTAATAATAATAATAGATTGTATATTGCACTCTTTTTCTGAAAGCTTTTATATTCCCATTCAAAGAAATCTATGAATTATTTTTTCTCAGCAGTCCAACCAATCAAACATTTTTTTACAATCGCTAACAGCAATGTTTGTCGACAAATTGTTGCATTAATGCTAATTTTTTCTATTTCATTTTAACCTTTTATAACATATTTTAATTTTTTTTTAAAAGAAAGGTTTTTTTAAGAACTATCTATATATTAATATTTATTTTTACTCTTTTGTTGGTCAACATATGATTTTTGATTCTAAATTTTGTACCAAAACATTAAAAAATAAATAAAAAATCTTGCCAAATTGTCAAAATGAATTATTTTTTTCGAGATGAATGTTAAAAAAATAACATTTTGAATAAAATATTTTATAATATAGACTCTTTTTTTGTACACATCCTACACTTTATAAGAAGGGGAGGCAAACTGGAAATTTTAATGTTTTTATCTAGAAAAATCAGGGAAATTTGAAATCTGATTTGAGTGGCCACCTTGATGTTGCAAGAATAATAATCTCACCTTTTAGCATATAATAATATAATATGAAATATATCTTACTGGAAAATTTTTCTGAGGTGTGCCTAATATTTGCACTATTAATAAGTTTATAGATTTTTAAGCATCATGTCACATCTAATTTTTATGTTAACACTAAATGTCACATATTAATTCTAATTTTCTTGTATTAAAAGAATATCGTATAAACAAGTAAAGTTATTCCTGTTGGATTTTTTCCCTTCAAAATCTTTTCTGTTCCTAGGGAGGCATAATCCAATAATAATATCATTTGCAGGGTGCACACAGACTCCTTATACTCCTTAGAAACTCCTTGGACATGAAAAAAAGTCCCCAGTGAGACTTTTTTTACCACTTAAATTATATTCACAAAATACAAAAAAAAAAAAAAGACATCACAAAACAAAGAAATTAGGCTTTTTTTAACGAAATAAAAGTATTTTAACCCATGTAGATTTTTTACAAAAAATAATGACTAATATATTTCAGTTCTCGGGCCACGAAAAAAGCCTTCGTGGGCTGCCAGTTTGTAACCACTGTTCTAAAACATAGTCAAATTTACAATTTTTTTAAAATATTAAACAATTTATTACTATTAACTTGTTTCATTGTATAATTTCTTTTTATGAATTATTCATGCTAAATATATAATGTTTACTCTATTTTAGATCTCAAGCATGACTCAAATTAATGTGAAAAGCTATAGCGAAGCTATGCAAGCACTCAGAAGAGGAACCCTATCAAGAACAACTGCAGTGACCTCCAAAAATGCAAGATCATCTCGCTCTCATGCTTTTTTTCTTATTTCGATGATAATGACGAATAAGAAAGATGGTAAATCCAAATACGCCAAGTTTTTATTCGTGGATTTGGCTGGCAGCGAGCGCGCAGGAGTTGATTCTTCAGAAAAAGAATTTAAGCAAGGTAAAAAAATAAATATAAACTTAAAAAGTATTACTTTTAACAGTTTGTTAATTTTGATTGTTTCTTAAAAATTAAACATATCAATGATTTTTGTACTAAACATGATTCATTATAATGCATATTTTAATTTTTTTAGGTGTCCAAATAAATAAAGGCTTGACGGCGTTAGGCCGTGTAATTTCCTCATTATCTACAAGGGAAAAGCATATCCCATACCGAGATTCTCTATTAACCAGATTCTTGCAAGGTATTCAAATATATGATTTCTGTATTATGAATTATTCTGATTAATTGTATATGTATTATACTGTATTGCTTTTTTTATTGCTTGTCTGTGCCATATCAGTCAACGGCACTTTCTCACTTCTTTGTCGTACCCATTCTATCATTATATTATCCAAATCTTTGTTGTTAGCTTTGCATATCGTTTTTCTCTTTTCTATCTCTAAAATTACATCACTTTTTGCAAAAAACTACAGTACTTTTTTCTTCTGTTTAATTAAATCATAAACATTTTTTATCTTTTTTATGTTATTATTCTAGATTCATTCGGGGGAAGCTCCTACACAGTAATGGTGACTTGTGTTAGCCCTGCTCAATCGACCTTGGAAGAAACTCTAAGTTCACTTCGATACTCAGCCTGTGCAAAAAAAATTAAAAATAATGTAGTCATCAACAAAGACTCAACGGATCTTATTGAACACCTTAAATTAGAGGTATATTGAGTTTTATTGCTAGTATCAAATTTTAAATAGTTTTCTTCAGAAAAACCTCTTAAATTATATTCACATTATTATGTCTATTCATTATACATTTAACTTCACTGATTCTTAAAATGAAAAATTTAATATTTAAAGTAATTTTTATTCAATATAAAAATTTTTCTTATGTTTTGAACTTATAAAATATTAAAAAAAAAACAAAAGTAAATGTATATTAGTAGCAAAGTAATCATTTAGAATGTATAAATATAAAATTAATAAATATAATGTTTTGAAATATGCATATAATGGTTAACTTTAAATTCAACTAAAAAATTATCTATTTTTTATTTATTATGTATTTATTTGCTATTTTTAAAATTCATTTTTACTATGAAAACTAATTGCATGCCTTATTGTGGCATTTTTATGAATAACAAATGTTTTCTTTTCATTTCTTAGATTAAATTATGTTCTAAACTATTAAATTTTTATTCTGGAGGAAACTTTTGTGGTTACTTTTATCAATTTAGTATGCACAATAGAAATGAAAATTTGTTGTTTGAAAATTTTAAATGTAGCAGATACCCTGTAATTTCCGGTTTTGGGGTAAAATTACGTTTCCCCCTGACAATTCACTGACTTTTTTCAAATCTAGTTTTTTCTGATTATTCATGAGGCTTACAAATCCGTCATTATACTTCCAAAGGATATTGTTGTTCATTTCGGAATTTTCATTCCAGATTCTAAATTAAACAAGATCCGAGTTTAGAAAAAGATTGATACTAATTTATTATTTTATTTGGTTTTAATTCTTTAAAACGTCATGTTCTTATAAGGTGTGGCAAAACTTTGTTTCATTTTTAATTAAATGTTCCCAATTTTTTTCTTCTTTAATCCACTTTTTTAAATAATGAGTTTAAAAAAAAACAAACTAACCACTCAATTTTGGATTCTAACGGATGTTTTATAACTCTCTTTGGAATAATTTAATGCTAGCTTGGTGGTTTTTGTATTTTCCCCCCATAAGCACAGTCAATTATGTTAACAATTTGCTAAATTATCATTACAAAATGCTGATTATTTTAAGGACTCTTTCGAACTCACAGGAGAAAATAAAACATTTGTCCCTTCCCTGCCTCCTCTCAATCTAAAGATCTTCAAGGTCACAGAAGAAATGAAGTTTCTCTGGACAAACTGGGAGAAAAATTCCCTCCTCACCCGCATTTTCCTCTACTCAACGTAAAGATGAGTCTAATTTCCGGGGTTTTTTTTTTTTTTTCCTTAATCGTTCTAGTTCAAAATGGTGGGGAAATTGAGCAAAATTTTTCCCGTTTTTCTGGATACCGGATAAATGGTTCACTACTGTATTAGCAAATATGTTGAGTATTCTGTTTCAAAATATGAAATAGATAATTATTTTGTTAACTGTATTTTGAATATTTTTTTTTCCTTTAATGAAATAAATTTTCATATTGATATGATAGAACTTTTTGAAACATTGTTTTTTTTTCTAGCTTGGAAGAGTAAAAAAATTAGGCTTGGAAGAAAAAGAAAAACTGATGAATCAAATCAACAGCCTTAATGATAGGTTAAAAATGGTATTTATGTCTTTATTTGTTATTATTTTTATCAGTTGAAGATTGTGGAAAAAAAATTTCTGAAATTTTAAATTAAAAAAATATGTTGATCCAATGTGTGGAAAATTCTGCTAAGAAATTTTAATATAATCATAATGTTGCTGAATGTTACTAAGTTCCTGCAGAAAGATTTTTAATTTGGGAAGTAAAAAATTTTGCATTTCTTTTTTGCAAAAATTTTAGAAAGATTTTGTTTTCTGCAGAATAATATTTAAAAGATGAATTTCTCAAGCATCAGAGGGAAAGAAATGTTCAAGATTTTTGTATTCTCATTTGCCAAATAAAAGTTCGATAATGACTGGCTTCAGCAAAATTTCAAATGGATAATATAAAGAAAATATATATTCAAAAATGCAGAAAGGTGAAAAAAGTTCATTTTAGAAATGGTGTTCTTTCTTTTCATTTTTTTAACGAACATCTTTTTTTACATTTCATTAAAATATTACTATGAATGGGAATTTTGTTACAAATTCAGATGTATAGCAAAAGAATTAATAAATGCGGTACATTTCCCCCTTTTTTTTATAAATTTTATTGAATAAAATCTATCGAATAGTTTTAATATATTATGCACATGAAAATGAAAATTATATATATAGTTTTTTGATAATTTTTTCCCTGCAATTATTGCTACAAATTGTTAATTTTTTTTTTAAAGAAAAAATCGCAGTGTTTTTTTTATTGTTTTCTTTTTTTGTTAAGTTATTGCAGGGTTGCCGCAGGCGACTAAAATTCAACTAATTTTTAGGAAAAGGAGACTATTGGGAGACTGTTCGGTACTCCTAGCAATGTTTTTTTAGCATGACTTGGGTTGAAAATCTGCGACCCATGATAGTTTCTCAACACAGTTTCAACTCTAGTTTCTTTTTTTTTTCCTTAAAAAATAAACAATTTTGAATTGCAAATTTGCACTTCACTTTTTAATTCATTCAGTTCGCACAGATTCTATTGTTTCTCGATCGCCTTTTCAATGGTTATCTTTCAATGGCTACGAAGTTCCACATGATTTTTTTTAATTTTAAAACGTTATTACGAAGCATAAATTTCGAATTTGACCAATCATTTTTCACAATATATTTGTGTATATGTGTGTGTGTATATATATATACATATATTATTTCCCAGATCAGTTATTGATAAAAGGGAAAATATTGCTAGAACATTAACGTTTATATAAAAATTATCACATTTGCCACCAGCTTGACTAAATGGATCATGGTATATGACAATTAAATCATTAACATAATTTTAGTCATATTTTTAATGAATTTTTGTTCTTATTTAGGCAACTATTTTCATAGTTTTTGGCTACTATTCTCATTCTTTAGGCTACCACAAGCAACTATTTTATTTTGTTCATTTTTTTCTGTGCCCACCCTGTTATTGAAATACAATAAATTGATGGAAAGATTCTTACTAAATGCAAAATTGCATCATCTAAAATAATTGTGATCGTACCACATAGTTTTATCGTAAATTGATTTGAAATACCTAAATATTATTAAATCAAATGATTAAACAGATAAAAATCCTTACAATAATTCAAAAAATATTAATAGTAATTTAATAAATTAAATCTTGTTTTGGGCAAAATTGTACTACACAAAACAATCACAAACACATCCCATTTCTTTTTGCTATTTTAAAATTTTGACCTTTTAAATGAGAGATAAACAAGTAAACATGTGAAGTAGATATAAAAGTTAACAAATAATATTTTGCGCAAATTAAAGCATAAATAGTCGTGATTGCATTATTTCTCTTATAATTCCCAGTTATAAATAAATCAAATGATTGAGCAGTTAAAAATTTTTAAAATAAATGTTAAATATTCAGTAAATAAAGCAGTTTGTACATTCTTATCCATGTGCTCATGTTGCATCATTTTACACGAACATCTTTAAATTTTGAAATCGTACATTTCCTAGTCTAGGAAATATGCAATAAAAAGTTCAGCTTCAATATAGATCATGTAAGCATTTCACCCCACTCTTTCATTTAGAATGAATTAAATATTTTCCTTCATTTTTTTCTTCTTCGCACCTGCAGTAGAAGAAAGGGGGGGACCTTACTTCCGTTGATCCTTGCAAGAAACTGTTCGCGGGGCAGTTGTGGGAAAGGAATTCATTAACAGCTTCTTTGGATGAAAGGAACATCTGTTGCGCTATTGTTACACTTTTGCAAACTGTTTTTCAGACCAATTGTTAATTCTTTAAATTATTATTGGTCATAAATTATAAAAATAGATCGCTGCAAATGATAAAGAAATGAGGAATAATAATGAAATTTTGTTGAATCAATTAAACAAAAGAGAATTTTCTAACTAAGTAGGGAAAAAAACACCAAACAGAACACCCCGTTAGATACGCTGCACATACTAAAATTTATTATTTTAAATCGTAAACGCTACAGCGTATCCCAGCGAATTTACGTTATCTTATTGATGAGTCTATGATACTTTAAGTGATTTTGATAGATCAGAGGTGATTAGATTTTCTTTAATACCTGAGTACATATTTTGTTTGTGTTTTACTTTAATCCAATACATTGTCTATTTCAATTCTTAAGTTTGTTTTTTTACTAAAAATCCTTTTTCAAAATTAAAATGTTTTTGTAGTAGATCTAACTTGTTTGGATGTCAAATAATAAAAGACTAATGAATTTAATTTTGAGTGCTTAGCTTATATGTAGGTTTCAGCATTGAAATTTTACACATTTAATCTATTTTAAAATTCAGTTGTTTTTTTTTTATTAATTAATAATAGGCACAAGATAATTCAAAGATGATGAAGGAAAAACTGATGGATTTTACAACAAGCATTCAGTAAGAAATTTTTTCCTTATGTACCATTTTTAATTAAAATAATTTGCTGTACAGCCCATTACTATACTTCTTTTATTTGTGCTTTATTCACATTTTTTTGTATAATACTGTTTAGTATATTCAAAGTGAGATTAATATACATAAGGTTATATATAATATTATACAGTAATTATCTTACGGCTTTACTAATTTGTATCGATCTGCATTAAACTTCATTAAATAAGCATTTAACATAACATTGATATCTATAAAATGTTTATCATGTTCTTACTTCTCAGGTAAGTTTTCAATTCTATATAATTAACTTCAAATCAGTTTTATGAATTCTCATATGAGATTAATCTGAAAACTGTTTCAATTTCTCTTTAGTCGCCAAGGTTTGATAAATGAATTCAATTAAACTGGTCATTAAGAATTTTTTGGAAGCATGGGAATTGCTGTTCCACTTAGAAATTATAGCCCTATATTATAATCTGTGGTCGATCTAATTTTTATTTTTAAGGCTCGTTTTTGTAGACAATTGAAATTTTTTTTCTGAAAACTTTTTAGTTGACAAAGAACATGATTTATTTTATATGATTTATTTTTTTCTATCTTTACTACCATTTTTTTACTGTGTTTTTTTATTGAAATAAAACATACAATATAATGTGTAGATTATTAAAATTAATTTTTGTGGTTCACTGTATATTTTGACCACAGCACTGTCAGTACATACTATGATGTTAGACAGGAATTTTGTAAAAATGTGTCTAGAAAACCTGGAAAAGTCAGGGAAATGTGTTCATCTGTTTGAGTAGTGACCCTGTAACACATTATCCATGGTGGCCCATAATCTGTAGCCCTAATTTTCAGAGTGAATGTAAATTAGTCAGCCTGTAACCTGCATGGGCACATTATCTGCACTTTTTTCTTCGATTGACAAGCTTTCTTCTTGATCCATTTTAGTCAATATTGGTAATCTTCTTTCATAGAGATGCCAACTTTTATGATTTATAAGTGATTATTACCATTTTAAAATCAAGATTATGGTCTCAAGTTTGAGTTATAAAAATTATCCTTTCTGAGGATTTTCTTCTTTTTTTTTTCTTAAACTATTCCGAGAAAAATAATGAAAAGATTTCTGTAAGAAAGAAAAAAAAAAATAAAGAGGATTTCTAAAAACACAAACAAAAATAACAGATAAGAGCAAAAGAGTGCAATGTTTCTGCTTCACCTTTCCACAGAGCTATTTTTAGACTTATCAAGGTAGCTGGTCATCAAGCTTAGCTTAAAATGTTTGTCTAAAAAATTTCTAAATGAAATGTTTAAATAAAAAATGTGTTAACTAGGGCTGAAGTAAAGAAAGAAAGAGATTCTTGCAACAATGTTTTATTGAAATGACAATGTGTTTAATCAAAATGAAATACTTAGATCTTTTTTTTATTTTTAAGGGTGAAAAGTACTGAGCTTCCCAAAAATAAAATCATGATGAAATTGGAACTCTTTCGTGAATTAATCCTTTGTTTATGAGGTTTATAGTTCTGGCCACATCCAACTATTAATGACTTTTTTTTCATACTTTAATTTCTTTTTAGAATATTGTTTCTTTGGTGGTACTAATTTAGAAAGAGTTATTTTAAGTTATGAATTTTAATTGATTTTTACTAAAAATGCATGGTATCATTAGACGTTTGAGAGTAAAAAATATACATATTTGGAGTCTATTTTCTTTTTTACGACTTAGTGAACAGTTAAAAACTCATACTTTTCTGCATACAAACTCATACATAAGAATGTGGCCATCATGCCTTGATAAATGATATCAATTGCAAAATATTTTCGTTCACAAAAAGAGTTTTAATGTGAAAAAAGCTGTAATTTTGGATAGATTTAAATACAAGAAAAATAAATGTTTTTCATTCTATGATTTGTTATGGAAGTCAGCAAAGCAGTTCATGGGAAGTCAGTCCAACTATGCATTCCTTACAATCCGTTGGGACTTTAAAAATTGTCAAAATGAAACCAGGATGACAGTTCATTTACGTTTGGGAGTTAGTCAATATAACAACAAGAGCTGGTGCAGCTTTTGCAAACTCTCCCTCGTATTTGGTATTAGAGCAAGAATTTCATTCTTGGTATACATCGAAATTAACAGAATACCATTCAGGTGAATTTAAACATCATACTTTGTAGCCAAACTTTGTGAGTTTTTTTTTTTAATTGTTTCCTGCTATGTCTGCCAAAGTATGATATGCATTTGTCATAGTCTACCCACAAAAGATAAATATTAAACCATATTTCTAATTACCCCAAAAATAAAAAAATTTCACTTACTATTTTTTGCATACTGTGCCACTTTCCAAATGTCAAAAGTAGATGTTCTCTATGTATGCATACAAGTACTCTGTGAATATTTTTGAACAAGCTATCACTTTCTCTTTAATTACTTTTGTTGTGGCCCCATATAATATTAAATTTGGCAACCTTATAAAATTCATTAGGAAAAATAGCAGTTTTTAAAACAGAATTCTTTGATACTACACTACCTCACTTACTTCCCAGGTTAATGACTTAAAATTGTGCTGTAATTATTATTTAAATGCTGCACCACAAAAGCTTTAAAACACAAGTTTTCCTCATTAAAGCATGGCAATATATTGTTTTTTTTATTTATTTATTTAAAATAAATTTGTAACAGGTATATAGTGTGATATGTGTCTTAACAATATTCCATTTTATAACAGAAATAACTGAACAGTTATGAGTTGAGAACAAGTGCAAAAGCTTGTTTATTATGAATTTTCATCATACATTCAACATCTATTTATAATTTTCAGTTTCAAATTTCTTTACTAAATTTATTCTAGATCTTTAGAGGAAATGATGTCGTCAAGCACTTTTGAAAAGTCCCTTTTACAAATTTGCCTTGATATTGTCGGAAATATCAAAAAAGATTTGAACAGCTTGATTGAAGTAAGCATATTCTTTCATAAGATGTATACTATTTTAAACTGCTTTTACAAATGATAATACTGTTTAAAACTGCATTTCTGACCTAAATTAAAAGTTAGGCATTCCTGCAGGAGGCTGTTGTGATTCAGGGAGGGATAGAGGTGCTCTGACCACCTTTATTTTCCAGCCAAGCTGGTCTCCTGATGATCTGAAGCTAAGTTTATCATATAGAATGTAAAGCTAAATTTTTTTTTTAAAAATTATTTATTTTTTATTTAGCTCATTAGACCCTTCTAAATCAAATTTTTTTAAAAAAATTGGAATAATTTTAATAATATGAATCTAAAGATGAATAAAATTTTGTATAAAGAGGAACTAAGTAGGTTTACTGTATATTCTTGAAATGGGAGTTTCAGCATCAAACTCTAATTTAAAATCTAGTCTCGTTTTTCTTCTACCGTTTTTGATTCCTTTAATGAGGATTGAAAAATCTTACTTTTTTCGCCAGGAGCAGAATAATATCTAATGTTCTGCTACATGACTTTTGATAATTCGTATATTGAATATGAGTTTAAAATTTTAAGTGTGGCGTTTATGCCGGTTGCGGCATTTACAATATTTTAAAAATAAATTTTACATTTTTCAAATAGAAAATAAAAATTTTAATCAAAATAGTTGCGAATTATGGCAAAAGATAGCTCCACTATTGCTAACCCACCACCCCTTAAAAATGGGTTTTTCTCGATCTAGTTCCGGTCAAACAGCTCTTTCACATTTTTTCTCCTGACTTTGTTACAGCGTGCTTTGCATGGTGTAGAGAAATTAAATTGCGGAAAGTTTTCTTTTTAGTATTTGCTAATATTTTTTCATATTACAATATGCATCCTGAAAGACATCTGAGTTATACAGCTGCTTTCAAACTGCAATCTATTGAACGAGCTGAAAGTATAGGAAATTGTGCAGCAGTGCGAGAATTTGAAGTAGATGAGATATGCATTTGCCAATGGCGGTCAGAAAAGAAAAGCCTAGAAAACATGCCGAAAATGAAAAGGGCAAGAAGAAGTGGAACTGTGCTCTGGCCTGAGCTAGAAGATGTTTTAGAAAAGTGGATTTCTGAACAGCGCGAGAAAGGACTCCCTGTATCCACCATTAAAATTCGTCTACAAGCCAAAAAGATATCTGCAAACATGGGAATTTCCAATTTTAACGATAATCCAAATTGGTGTCATTGGTTCATGACAAGAAATTATTTGTGCGAAGTAAAACAACGATCGGCCAAAGTCTTTCAGATGACTGGAAAGAAAAAAAATAATCCTTTTTGAATTAATTGAAGGATTTAAGAGCTCAGAAAGGAATTAAAGAATGCCAAATCGTCAATATGGATGAAGTCCCGTTGACGTTTCAATTGCTGCATCTAGCCACAAAAAAACATCCTTCACTTGTGTGCTTACCTGTGCTGCTAATGGCAAAAAATTAAAACCGATGCTGATTTTCAAGCGGAAAACGTTGCCTAAGGAAATTTTCCCAAGTGACATCATAAAATGCAGGGAAAAGGGCTGGATGTGCGAGAAAATAATGCTTGACTGGATTAATGAAGTCTGGCGTAAAAGAAAAGGGTCATTTTTCCAGCCAAGTGGCATTCTTGTGATGGATTCAGTGCGGGCACATTTGCTGGACTTGGTGAAAAAGGAAGCAAAAAGAGCTTCAGCTTCTTTAGCTGTTATCCCAGGTGGGCTAACAAAAATACTCCAGCAGCCGGATTTAACAGTAAATAGAAGTTTCAAAAGCCACATGAGAAAACTTTGGGAAGCATGGATGGCTGGCGAAAATCACTTGTACACAAAAAACGGAAATTTGAAAAGAGCTTCATATAGAGAAGTAGCTCGATGGGTTTCAGAAGCTTGGAAAGCAATTTCTCCGAACACTGTAAAATTAGGTTTTTCGCAGGCGGAAATAATCCCGAGTGTTTCGATTGAAGAAAAATGTGATCCGACAGATGAAAATAATGATGATGCTGAACTGGATGAAGAATTGCTTCAATAGTTTTATTCGGATTTTGAATGCAGCGAATTTGAAGGGTTTGAGTGAGCCTAAATTTTAAGTGGATGCGACCCACTTTGAAAAGCGTGCAAAGTGAATGCGACCCACTTAAGTTGTGAAATGTAAATATGTTACAATGTAAGTCAGTTATATAATTCTTAATCTAGAAATGGCGCCACCAGCGATTACCGATTGTAAAAATATTATTTTGAGAAGTTTATCCAAAGTGTTTAATAACAGTTTCTTGCTTTTGTTAGACTACGCATTTTATACTTTAATTTATATTTTAATTTTAAATTTTAGTAATATTTATAAAGTATTAATTTAATATATTTAATTTTTGTCGCTACATCGTTGTTATGGGTGCGACTTATAAACTGATATCTACTTAGTTAAATAAAAGAGGTATGTTTCCAAAAAATAAATAAATAAAATTAAAAAAATTATAAAATTTAAATAAATCATTAAGTAATGTATGTAAATAATCAAATAAGTAATGTAAAAAAATCATTTATATTAAATTAATATAAATGTAGTTATTTAAATTTTTTACCTAAAGATGGCGCCAACAGCCGAGTGTGACATGTTGTTCTGAGCAGTTTGTCCAAAATATACAATAACAGATTACATTCTTGATTTTATTATAATTATACATTTATAAATTTTAAATTAGAACATTAGTAGTATTTATAATGAATTAATGTTATATATTCACATTTGCCGCTAAATCGTTATTATGGGTGCGGCGTTTACCGTGATTTTTTTCTTTTAAGTCTCAATATCGCGAGTGCGGCCTTTACGATAGGTGCGGCTTTTCTTGTATAAATTACGGTGCCTCAAACTCAAAAAAATTCCTTTTCCCTGACTTTTTTTCAGATTTGTAAAATTTCCCGTGACTTTTTCCTGTTCTGTGGTCAGTGTGTAATCACATTTCTGAAACTTATCAAAAGATAAATTATTAATCAGATTTTAAATGTAGATTTTGCACAATTAAGATAAAACTTACATTTTTCTAGAAACCTTAAGTCTTTCAGAATTAGAAGGAAGCGCATTACTACTATCAAATTAATCAAAATAATATTTGAATGCAAAATGAAATTAACAGTGAAAGAAAATTATCTAAATATCCTGTGTAAAAAGTAAACTATTTTAAGCATAAATATATGAAATCAATTTAAAATAATTATTACACAAAAATGTCTTTAACTGATTCACAGATGTACTTTTTTTAGAAAAGGAACCAAAACTGTTCTCTCTTCCAAAGGAGATAGTAGCATTTTTGTAACAGTGCCTATTCTTTTTAGACTGTGACTAGGCATACTATTTTTCTAACACTTTAAGTCTAGTTTACAGGTAGAGAAATCTCCAGTCTTTACATTTTTGAACTAGTTTGTATAAACAAACATACTCCATTTATATTGCTGCATCATTTAAAAATATCTTTTAGTAATTTAACCATAATTCTACTTGGGTAACTTCCTGCAAATTTTTCTTTGACTAGCAATATGACAAATTTGTTTGACTATATATATATATATACACACATATTGAAAGTTTTTAAAATGTAGTTTTTGTTAACTTTTATAGTTGCATAATTTGGGAGCCGAAAGAGACTTAGAACTTATACGGTATGAAGAAAAATGTAAAGAAGCTGAAGATTTGAAGAAAGTAGGTATTTTTTAAACATATAGTCAAACAAAAAATAAGAAGTGGATATCACAACGTATGTTTTTGAACGCTTGAAATATGCCGACTGTCCTTTCCAATTTGTATATTTTTGAAGCGAGTCAATATTTTAATCAAGTAATACCTTACTACTTCAGTTTCTTGGGATTATATATTTAATGGCACTCGCTTATCAGTGTGGGAAAAACCATTCCTAAAATGAAGGAAAAATTCTAGTTCAAGAATACATTTTGAAATCCTCAAAGATTAAAAAAATTGTTTAGGAAATATATTTTGAGAAAATGAAAGGCAACAGTAAATTTTTTTGGCTAATTCTTTTTTTAAATTTGTATTATTAGAGCATCTGCGCAGATTAGTGCCTGATCGCCAAGGCATCTAAAAAATCATAGCTAGCCTCCAACATTTTAGTAAAATTTAACTCATTCTTTTAAAATTTTAAAACTTTTAGATAAAAAAAATAATTTTTATAAATATAAATACCAATTAGGACATTCATAAAATCTGCCTTTCTTCAAAAACCTGGACCCAATCTTATTCCCGATATCTGGTTTTCTGGATTACTAAGAATAATAAACATTGCAAACAATGGAACATAAATTCAAAATTAGATTGTTTGATGTGTTCCATTATCTGAAAACCTCAGGTGAAAAATACAAATTTTGTATGCTTAAACTTCACAATATTTTACCACTATAAACATATAATTGAAGCAGGAAGCAATTGTTTTGAAACAAAATAAAAGTTTTTAGGTGGAAAATAATTGTGAAAAACTTTCTGTGCCTAAAAACTTTAAATCACAAAATTTTTTAGTTATTTAGAATTTGAGTGTGTAGTTTTCCTATTTGTTCACTAGTTTCTCTAGTTTTCTGCTATGCTAGCTTCTAGATACTAGGTCCTGTACTGTATCATCTTGTTCAAAAATATAGATTCAAATATGGAAAATCTTTTTTTTTATAATTGAAGGAATTTTTTGTGATCCTGTTCTTTTTGAATTCTTATAGTTCTTATAACTCTACCATGTTTAATTTTAATTGCCTATCACGTAAACTTATAACTAGAAATATTTCAAGCATTGTTATATAATTTTGTTATGAAATAGATTTGGGGGGAATAGCATTACTTGCTTTGTTTCATTTGAAATCATTAATGAGAGAGAATAAACTACTACTTCTGTTTTTGATTGAAGCAAAAATATTATCTACAATTTTTGAATTAATGTTTATGCCTGAGTAAAAATTTAGAAGAAATTTTCAATTTTAAAATGAAACTTTTCAAATTGGAACATCCTTAGGAAATGATAAGAAAAGGAAATTTTAAACTACAACGAATTTGAGAAATTAATTCAAGTCTTATAAATGTATTTTTTAAAACAAATACTCTCAAATTTATGTGTGACCTCGTACAAATTTCGGTCAACAGTGACATGCCTTTTTTCAATTATCAAGACTATTAAGTGATAGAGACCTATAACAAGGATCAAAAGGATAATTCATGTCACTCTTCCTTCCTTTAAAAGGAATTCAAGATATTTTTACTTTATTTTTAGTGATATAACAAATAGTGGTGGTTTCATTTATTCCTTATGTTATTAATGATTTCTTTACAATGTTAGAATTTTTATTTTTTAAGTGCAAAAATTTATTCTGGTGCCTAAAAGTACTGTAATTAGTAACATAATTGAATTACTGTTATCGGGGATAATTTTAAGTTCTTCTGATTGTAGCAAGTCTTTACATTTCATTATTTATATAAGAATACAATATAAATCACTTTTGGTATTCTAAATTTCCCTTGTATTTCTTTTGCTTTCTAATTAACATTTACTTTAAAATGTGTTTTTGTCATCTTTCCTTATTATTTGTAGCAATTCATAAAATTATACTGACAACTAGTAAATTGAAAAGTACTCAACATTCTGTTGTTCAGGAACAGTATAAATAAAAGAAATATCTAATGTTATTGCTAAGTTGTTTTAAAAATACAGTAAAGTATTGTACTTTTTAAAGAATGAATTACATATCTATCTATTCTATCTCTAAATTTAATTCTTTTAATAATTTTCTGATTTGCTAAGCTCATTGAAAAAAATTGGTAAGGAGAAAAATAAAATTATCTCATTAAAATAGTGGGAGACTAAATCTGTTAGAAACAAACGTACATGTGATTTTTTGTTTCAAAACCAAAGTTTATCATTTTGCAAAAAAAATTCAGGGGATACTAAAAATATGTTTTTTGCTCTTCAACATTTCTTTTGAATGTAAATAATCTCTTGAAAAAGGAGTAAAACTGCAGTCCATAATTTTAAAAAAATAGTTTGAATCATCCAGAAATTGTACTTTTTATTCATTTTAAAATAATTTTACTGAGGCAATGAGAATGGGTTAAATAAAGTTTGTATTAAATTGAAACTTGTTGATTTATTTTCATTTCGATATTATGCATAAATAAAATTAAATTATAAATTTTTAATTATTCAAAAATTGTTGATTACATTTTACTTCTAAAGTGTTTTTCCTTTATTTTATACCATATATTTATAGTTTTTTTTTATCAATCTTCTTGACCTTTTACCTAATTAAACATCTTGCATAATCATTTACTATAAAATTTACCATTTATTTAACTTCACTTCGTTACTCCTTTTGGGGCAGTGTTTTGTGAAATTATTGGAATATTATAAGAACATAAGATATATTTATTTTATCCCATCAGTACCTGTTTACATTATCCCATCAAAATTAAAGAAAAAAACAAAGTTTACAAAAATAAGTCAAGTGATATATTACAAAATTTTCTATAACATTGATTGAAAGAAAAAAACTAAGTTCTACTTGTTTACCAATTCTGTAATTGAATCAAAAGAAATCAATCAATTTTTTCAAATTTCTTAGTTTTTGTATATTTCTATTGCTTTGTATAATTTTTTTTATCTTAAAATCATAAGAAAAAGTTATAGTTAAAAGTTATGTTATAGTTACTTAAAATGCAACTTTCATCTGTCATTTAGCAAAGAAGCATCTATGCCAGTAAAATAATTTATTCTACTTTCTGATTATGTTTAAAGAAGAGAGTGGCATCAATTTTTTTTTTATTTAAACTTATTATCTTAGTTCATAAAAATATCATATGAATTCTTTTTGTAAAACTAAATATATTGCATTGCAATTGCAAAGCTCAATTTTCTCTGTGTAATATGCATATAGTTAGTCAAGATTAGTCTTATTAGTTTTTAACTTTCATTTTACTGGTTTTAAATTAACTTTGTACTCTTGCTGTTACAAAAAAAAAAAAAAAAGATTTCACTTCAAAATTTGATGCATACCAAACTACTAAAATAATATGCCTATGTCTTTGAAATTTCAGAAATTAACTGATGCTGAGGAAAAAATTCAACAACTTCGTTCGACTACTACTACTAGTGCTACTAGAAGAATAAGGTCCCAGCCAGTAAGTTTTGTTTCTTTTTTACTTTTGTGATATAGTAGACACTCTATATAAGGAACCTGGTTCAAATCTTAGTAATGGCTAGTCTATTCAAATTCCGCACCCGGCTTGCACTGACAACAGTGCTGACATGAAATATCCTCAGTGGTAGATGGATCATGGGTTAGAGTACCCTTGCTGTCTGGTTAACAATTGGAGGTTTTCGTGCTTTTTCTCTCCATGTAACACAAATGCGGGTTAGTTTCATCAAAAAGTCCCCCATGAAAGCAAATTTCTCCCAATACTTGATCCAGGAGTTCCCTTGTCTTCTGGATTTTGTTCAAAATTACAAGGCTACAAAGATAAACATTAGAAGTCATAAACCTAAAATTGAGTCGACTGTTAGTCGGTTGTAAATATAAAGTAAAATTTTTATATTGGGGCCAGGGTGGCCATCTACCTGGAAAACCTGGAATTATCAGGGAAGCGGTTATAGCGGCCTAATTTTTTTACTCTTTGGGTATTGGTTTAAAGAAAATATGACCAATGAATTTTATTAAGAGCACTGTTTGGATAAAATGCAGTATAAACATGCATTAAAAAAAATAGCATTTTTAATAAATGCTTTATAATATTGAAATTTTTCTTGTACCCATCCTATAGATGTAAAATACTCGCGTTTTCATAACTTAGGGTAAATATTCTGAATAATTACCCTCATAAATACCCGAAATTTATTAGTACCTGAGTATTTATCAATTTTATTAAAAATTTGTGATTATGGTTTTCTTTTTACAAAATTATGTATATTTTAGACACAATTAAATTTTGCCTACATTGTCAATGGTTAATTAACTATGAAAAAAAAATTCATTCAATTTGAGCATATAAATTATTAAAATCGTTTTCTTTTTCTTTATTTGAGAGCTGTTATGGTTTAATCCTCTTTCTAATCATAATTCCCAGCCTTTAAGGTTTTAAAAGTAACATCTAAGCAAGGAAAGTTTTGGAAGAAATATTGTTTTGAAATGCAAGAATTTTTCATGTTTTATGTAATTTATTTTAAAAAGTTTATCATACAGTACTTTTCCTGTATATAAATCATGCATAATTCCTTATTTGATTCATATTTAATTGTGATGTAGTGATATCTTTCTGAATAATAATAATGCCCCAGACTGTAAAAATTTTTGAGTTTTTATTTCATTATTATTAAGGAATTTAGAAATATAGCTTAATATTAGTACGGTTTTCAAAGGAGTATAAAATATGTGGTATGTTCAATATTTCTGTTTGCTAAGTTTAAATGAGATCACAAAGCTTTTTTCTCTATGGGAAAAAACTGCTCTTTTCCCCATTAAAAGTTACATGTTTAACTTATTGAACAACTCCAAGCAAGGATTGATATATTTTATTTCTTACGTTAAATGATAAAATATATATTTAGTTTTATCATTATATTCTTTATCAGAATTTCAATAATTCTTACAGGAATGAAAAAGGAATATTAACTAAATATTTTTTGTTAATTAAATATCTATCATTAATTGTTTTCAATTTTAAAAAAATACTTTTCGTTAATTAAAAGTCATAAACTTCAGTCTGATTAGGGCATATAAAGTGAAAATGCATGTAACAAAATCATGCGAATAAATAACTATTGAAATATATTTTATTTGCATTAAAGATCTTTTACTCCTAATTAGTAAAAGTATAGAATAATACTTGATAGATTTAGCATTCATAAAGTTTATCTTCCTTATTTTTTTATATAACAACATTGATAGTCTATATATAACTGGGTTATATGCCTTTTATATTAAATAGAGAACAGTAAATAACACTATAAAAGATAAGGCTACCTGCAGTTAATAAAACTACCTTTTTGTTTAAATGTCTGAATTGTCTTTTATTTTGGAGATGAAGCAGTGTTAGCTCATAGTTTGAAAAATAACTCAATAGTATAGAAATTAAATAATTCATTATTTCTTTTGTCTAAAATGATATTTTCAGAAGTAAAACTGATTTTTAAAAATAAAATTATTTATATTACTTATTTTTAATAATATTATTTTTATATTTATACCCTACCTACTGGGTATTTACCCGACTCAATTCTATAACCCATCCTACATTTTATGAGAGAGAAAAAATGGCTCACGTGGAAAATTTTAAATTTTTACCTCGAAAAATCAAGGAAATTTGTAATCTTCAGTAACCACCCTGAGGGTGTTGGACTCATGTTTGTGAGAGCTGGAACTCGAATGCTGGAAGAATCCCCCTGTATTAACTGATAACAGTAGCACGTTAAATCTTCAGGGTCACAAAGTCCTCCATGTTCCCCTAGCAAATCAATATCACTGGGGGTACTGGTCCAAGAGTTCACTTATCTTCCAGATTGGATTAAATAATTACAAGGATACAAAGTTGAACATTGGTAGTCGTAAACTGAAATTTAGGTCTGCTATTCAATGACTGTTTTAAAATAAAATGTTTATTGAGCCCTGGTGGCTTAGGAGGTAGAGCGCTTACCTCCAAACAAGGTGGCCCTGGTTCAAATCCCAGCAATAACTGGTTGGAACGAATTCCGCAACCGGCTCGCATTGTCTAGTCTAATCCTAGTAATCTGGTTTGGGTTCAAAATTACAAGGTTTCAGAGTCGAACATTAGTGGTAGTGAACTCAAAAATTGGGTCGGATGTTTAACAACAGTTATAAAATAAAATTAAATATTTATATTTTATGGCTAATAAATACTGTACTTATTTAACAAAACCATTCAATACTTCAAAGAATAAATAATGTAACTGACAAAATATTTTACACATGATTTTTAATTGTTTGAATTTTTTTTTAAACGTAAAAATGCGATTTATTTTAATAAATAAGTTTTGTTTTTTTTTTAAAAATACTATAAATAATAGTTCAAAAAGGGGACTGATTAAGAGAAGTCAAGAAAATTGTGAATGTTCGAAAATAAGCCTTCAAGCATCCACTTGATTTCACAGTGAGAAAGGAATAAAATTTTGAAACTAGATAAGTTGGAGTGTTAAATTTATTGTGCTATTTGAAAAGAAATTTTCAAAGGTTATAAATAGATCATTTTTTTAAAACTTAATGAATCTCGATACAGAGTTCCCATAAGGTCAAAGAAGCTTAGAATTGTAAGAAAGTTTGATATTAAAATAGAGGCAATCAGTCAATTCTCAAGGAATAATGTCCATTTATTTTATCTAAAACTTAGAGAAGTCTAGCAACTAACCTGGAAAATAGCAAATTTCAAAATCCACTGCAATATGTAACCAATGAAATTTATTAAATATTTTATTTTCTTCTAAAAGTTATGCTGCAGCATGGTTAAATTTCTTAAGAATTATTAAATCTGGAATATTATACTGTGAAATGTTGTGTTTTGTTTAACAATTTCTTTCTTTTTTTTAAATCTTGAATCTCACCCTGTCTGCTGTTCAATAATACTATGCTTTTAAAAGCTAAGCTTTATCTATAAATTAATTTTGGTTCTTAAACACAAGAATGATATATGATGGCTGATTGTACGACTGATGTGATTCTATTTATATTTTTGGTTTTTATGCTAAATATATATGTTCTAAAACAAGATGCTAAAGTTATAGATTACATATGCAACTATTAAAATAACATTTGTTAAATTAAGAGTGTTTTTTTTTTTAAATATTAAGTAATAATTTTTTCCTTATAACTTATAGCAATGTTCACATGATTCGATGATGGAGGAATTTATAAACTTAAGCGAAGATGAAGCATCCTTTGCTCAACAATCCGAATTACAGGACCCTGATTTTCGTGGAACACCTATGTATAAAAGGAAGCAATCCAAGGCCAAGCGAAAAAATCCAGAGGTGCGTTTTTAATGTTATGTACTTTTGTATTGATAGAATATTAGTATGAAGAATTTAATCAAGACAGCATGAAAATCATTTCAATTTGTATTATGAAAAAAAAAGCTTTCAAAATCTACTCTGGTAAAAAAAGAAAAGCTTACTTATCACTTATTTGCATATGTTAGTTGTCCACATTTTTGTTGTAACTCTTATTCATGTTTCAGCATCTTTTATTTGTACTGTCCATGTTTCCATTTTTTACCATTAAAAATACAATTAATATGTATGTATATTTAAAACTGCTGAAAATTTCATCAACTAATCGTAAGCTATTTTTTGCCTATTTCAGTCTTAGTTTTTATTAGTACTAAGAATTGCTGAACCATATTCTTCACTTTAATTATTCTTATGTTGGATGATTATGCTATGGTTAGGAATTATATAGTTTTATACTTTTCATTCCTTAAATAACAATTTTATTGTGATCTGATTGATTGATTGATAATTTTTTTGTTTACTAATTTTAGTTTCTTTTTGTTTTAAACATTTCCTTGTAAATAATAACTTTCATAATTAAATTCTATGTACAAAAATTTCATTTTTTTGTCTCTCTCTCCCTTTCAAAATATTCCTGAACATTTGATTAATTTTTAAGTATTTCTATCAAAGTTTTTTTTTCTTTGCTTATTATGTTTATTTATTAACTTAAACTTTTTGTTATTAAACTTATTGTTATGTATACTTTTATATTACTCTGTCTATATTATTCCTGTCAATTATAAATTGTATTATAAAAATATTGTTGAACAATATTTTAAATTGTATTTAAAATATTGTTCACTAATAGTAAATCTAAATAAATTGAAACTATAAAATTTATAATTTTTTTTTCAGGGTTTAGAGCCTTTAACCAGTCCAAAACCTCCAAAAGTAAGTAAATGTTTCTAATAAAAGTATACTTTTTTTTCATGACAGACAAAATAAAACCATGTCAAATAAATGAAGTAAACCTCTGCTATTTGTGTTATAATTTTATGTTTATTTATCAAGTTTTGTATTCTATTTTTCATAAGAGGAAAAATTTGAAAAATAGTTCAAGTTAACCAAAATGGGTAATCTTACATAATTTTCTGTTTAATTGGGATATAGTAGTCTCATGTCAATAACAAAATTTTGAAATTCCTAAATATATTTGAACTAATGTATATGTACCTGTTAATCAATCAAAATTTTATTTGTTTTATAGACTTTATCAACTGGTTGTAGTTGTCCCGGTGACTGTAGTTCAATTCGTTGCAGCTGCAAAAAGAAGAAACAAACGTGCACTCCTTTATGTGATTGTGTTAATTGTGAGAACCTTTAGAGGTGATTTTTTCTAAGGTCTATTATTTTTTATCACTTTTTAAAGCTAGTATATTTATACTTAAAGTATCTCTTTTATGGCAGGAATGTGAATTGCATAATTTAACTTTTTGGAGTTGTTACAACTTTTTACATAATTTAAATTTGACTTTAAATGTAAATGTGTATCTTCTCCTGAAACTCATTCATTTGCACTAAATGAATTTGTAACAGGGGCGATTAATATAGCATTTCTCAAAATTTTGAAATTTGCGCATTCATACACTTGGCATAAAGAAAATTATGTACATTCAAGCCTCCTGGAACATTTTCTCTGCAATTTTCGTATTCTTTTTTTAAAAAGGTTTTTCGTTTCCTTGTTTTCTTTAGAATTTTACCATATTTCTATATATAAATTGCTCATGGGCTGCAATAGTGGCAAAACTAAAAAAATACGCGTTTTAAACTAAAAACAGGTGTAAGTCGTGCTAGTATTGCTGTATTTTTAATGTATGAAAATGGGTATTTTCTTATACTCATTTTCAAACATTAAAATACAGCAATACTAGCACAACTCATAACTCAACTTAAAGGCAATCTTCGTTTCAGCAAACTGAAGCATTTCTTATGCATTTTTCTTAGCAATGAAAACTTTAAACCCACCTATCTCAAAACTTGATTTTTTGAGTTGTGCCGCTATTGCAGCCCATGAGCGATATGTATATACTACACTATATTGCGATTATATATTTGTAGTATGCTTTCTGATGCTTTTAAAAAATATTATTTTATTTTTATTTTAGGATCGAGACACATCTAACCACTAGTTCACATCCTCTCATTTTGTAATTTCATTAAAAAAAAAGATTATATTATAAAACTTATCATATTGTTTATATATTCACACTTTGTAAAGTTTTAATGCCATTAAATTTATTGACATTCCTATTTCTTTTTCATTTCTCTTTCACACATGCTGCCATCATCAGAAAAAAATGGAGGGGGGAGTTCTTTAATTTTTCTCTGTTACAGGGTGTCCAGCGATAGGGAAAACCGGAAATTATCAGGCAATTTTTTAATTATGGTAATGTCAGGGAATTTCTCTGAAATCTTAGTAAATCAGGGAAAAGCATTCAAATAGCCAGCAAGCGCCGAATGTTTCAATTCGCGGCGCTACGCTTCATAATTGATGATGTCGCAAACAAGTTTTCTTTACCGTGCGGTAAGTACGTGTGGTGCTGAAGTTGACGTCATTTCCAATCCAACATCGTCACGTGGAACTTCTCCATGCAGCCATTGCAACTGAGTCTGAAGGATTGTGCGTTTGTTCGCGTCTGTTTGAAAGAAACTGTGTCATCAATTTACTTGCATTTTTCTGGTAAGTTCTTTATCTTATTTTTTAAAATTATAATTACTAATGGACTTATAAAATTATCTTAAAATATTTGCTTAATTTCATTTTTAAGGTCTAATATACGTAATGTCATTAAGAAATAAGTTGTGAACAATATATAAGAGAAAAGCTAATTTTTGCCCTTCCGATTGCGCATTATTGACTCCGCGTGGAAGATTTTCGCTCGTTGTGCTCTAATAAGTTATTTTATTTTCATTCTAATAAACTTTATTTAATTTTTATTCCAATAACTTTTTGTTTATTTTAACTTATTTTCGTTTACGGCAGGTTGATTTTTCGATAAATTAAATGTATTATTTTCACGTGATGGTATAATTCTTTATTTAATTAATATTCTTTATGAATTTCTTTAATCAAATTTTAAATATTTTTTTTTATACAATGCAAATTTTAAATCATTAGTCAAGATTAGTTTTTGTGCTTTTTAAAATTTAAGCTTATCGCAATTCATACTCATGTGATTTTAAAATTCAGTTTCATATTTACGGAATTTTAATAAATAACGCTAGGAATGAACGAAGAAAAAAGAATTTGTTTCGTGAATTAAAGACAAAGAAAAATTAAATCAATTGTTACATGAAACCATCAATATTTTATTTAATTTTAGAATTGAAAATATGTGTTAAATAATTTATTGCTGGGTTGACTGGTTTAAACCATGACTCAAACCACTGTTTAAAACCAAATGTTTTTTTGTTTTTTTCTAAGCCAAGCTTGATTTTTTTTTAAAAATAATCTTTTATAATTTTTATGATATAGTTTGTTTTTATAGAACCAAATGAAGCATTAATATTAAGTACAAACAATAATAATTAAATAAATGATTTCAATGGTAATGATGGTATTTTACTAATGCATAAAAATGCAGTATGCATATAAATGTATTCAATAGCATATTTCTTTCATTATTTTATTAGAGGAAAACTATTGATTTAAATCAATCGTTATTTTTTTTTCTAAAAAAATTATTTAATTAGATTTTTTACTAAATATAATTTTAAAAATATTAATTATTTTTTAAACAATGTTAATAAATACATTTTAAAGATGTAATTTTTGTAAGTTTAATATGATAATGATTGTTTTCCCCAGAGAAATATAAAGAATATAGTACATGCAAATTATTATATTTGCATGAATGTTGCTTTCATTATATCATTAACAAAAACATTGATTTAAATCAACAATAATTTAAAAAGTATTAGAGTGGTATTAAACAGGGATATACAAATATCATCTTATGCAATGAGTATATTTACCATTTTATTTTAAGCAGCATAGAAAAAAAAAATTATTCTCCAAACAACCGATTTTTTTAAAAATTTCTTCTTGCTATTTATTTAAAATTATAAAATACACACAATATATGAGCATTATATTGAATATTCATTCTATTTGCAGATAAAACAATTATAAGGCTGCTCACTTCCAAGTGAATTGTCTTCATAATCCAGAATTCAAAGACTGGCTTAAGGAGGTTGAATCAGACATCCATAGAGCAAAATGTATTATGTGCCATTCAACATTTTCACTAAGTAATATGGGCCGCCGTGCTCTTAGAAGTCATGCCAAAAGTGTGCAGCATGTAAAAAAAATAAAAGCAATGCAGGGTACATTACCATTAAAATATTTCGCTTTTGACGATGGGGAAGCACCAAGCATAGTCTTCTAATAAAACTATTGAAAATGGCAGCAGTTCTGTAAAATCCCTAAATGATCTAATGTTAACAACTCTTTCAACAAGACAAGGTCTTGAATCATTCCTTTTAAGAGATGATATTGCAAAGGCAGAAATTTTATGGTGTGTGCACACTGTTGTTACTCATAAATCTGTTAGGATGTCAGAGAAAGATGTAGAATTATTTCAGCTTTTATGTCCAGATAACGAGATTGACAGAAGCATTAAATTAAAATAAAAGTAAAATAACATATTCTTTTTTATATGGTATTGCTCCATATTTCAAAACAGAACTGATAACAAATATTTTTCATTGAAAATAGTTGGATTGATGGATCAACAGCTGATAAAGCTGAACGTCAGTATAAAAGTGCATTGAAACAAAATCTTATCATAGAACTGCTAAAAAAGTTTAATAGGACTGACAGTATTGTGGAGAAATGTATTTATTGTGGAGAAATGTATTTAAACTCCTTAGAGATTCGGATGAAATCACCAAAGTCATGAAACTCACCACGAGTTTATATAACGGTAATGCGAACGTTGAGAGAGGTTTCTTTGTAAACTCGCAATGTTTGATTGAAAATTTGAAAGAAGAGACTCTGATACCACAGAGAATGGTATACGATACTATTATTTCCACAGTGAAAAACGTAAATTCCTATAAAATTTCACAACCACTTGTACATACCTTCCGGAATGCTCATTTGTTGATGAAGGAGGTTACAAAAAAGCGTACGATTGAAGATCAGGAAAATTTGGCTATTGAAGCCAAAAAGAAAAAAAACAGCAATGATTGAGAAGGAATTGGGGGGAAAAAATGCTAAAATTAAAGATGTTACTAAAGAAATTAGTAATGTGATGGAGCAGAGTCTTGTTTCACGTTATAATGATAACATTTCATCATAATGATATAAGTGATAAATAAATATTTTGATAGGGTTTTGAACAGTGATTTCTTGTATTTGTTTATTCAGTATTAAAGTTATGCAGCATTTTATTTACTAGGAGAAATGTAAGTTTGTAGTATTACATATAATATCTACTTTATTTTCAAATGCATAATGTTTATATTATAATCTGTCCATTATTTTCCTTAAGTTATAAAATATTTTAGATTATAAAATATTTCTTATTTAATAAAATTGAAAATTAAATATATGCACGATACAGGGAAATTCTGGGACTTACAGGGAATTATCAGGGAATTTGATAATGTCTTCCCACTGGACACCCTGTGTTAACAACTTCTAATTTTCATTCAATCCTGAAATTAAATATTGAAGAATAGAGGAGAGACACGAAAGTGTAATGCTACTTTTCACCCATCCAATACTAAGCCATCAGAACAGGAAATGTTATAACACTTAAATAGAAAATGGTGACTATATATATTTTGGTTTCTTTTGAACAGTGTTGTAAATAATATGTTCATATCAAATTCAATCATTGAACATACATACAATCATAATCTTAAGAACCCATGAAATCATTAGACTTCAAAATGGCATTAATCAAAGCTATGATGCCACCAATTAGTAAACTGACCCCTTAAATCTTCATAAGTTCAATTAAAAATAATATTCCAAACCAGGTAAGAATCAAATCTGAAACCAAAGATGTTGCAGAGGCCATGCCAAGCTTAATTTGTTAGTGGCGATTTCATGAGAAGCACTTTGATATGCCAGGCATGTCAAGTAACCTTCTACATATCATGATGAAATAAAAAAAATAGAAAACATATGTTTATTTATATCCTTTAAATATTTGGTGTATTCATATACTCATGTAAATATTTTTTTAGTAATGTATAAAAGAAGGTATGTAATAGCAATGTCTAATATTTATATAACTCATTTTATGTTGTTATTAGTTATTTTCAAATAGTATTTACAAAATAATCAAATCCTGAATTTATTTAGACTTCAATCAATATTTTCTTATATACTAACCAATCCTGATCTTGACAAATTCTGAATTAATTTAGATTCCAATCAAGTGTAATGAAAACATACCATTTTTGTTTTACTTAAAACAAAACTCTTCTTTTAAAGAGACGCAAGATTGTAATAACCATAGGTTAAAGATTATATTAATTATTTTTATCAGTTTTCTAATATTTTTTTTTTTTGGAATTTCAGTTGACCGGTCTTTTTAGAGTTTAGTCTAATACCATTTTTTACACTGATGAAGACAGTTTTGAATCTTCTTGATAAAATTGCGATATATTTATAAATCAATTGAAAATAATCTTTTTAAAATAGCTATATTTAAGCTTTTTAAACTATTAATTGTGTTTTAGTATTGAGTTGAAATAATATAATTTCTGGAGAAGAATTCTTTTGAATTAGTATTTTCATTGATATTTTTTTATTGTGGAAAATATTTTTATAATAATTGACAAATTACTGTAATAATATTTCTTGCCCTTCTCATTTATTTATTTAGACAGATATTATGTATAAGTATGCGTATTTAAAAAAGACAAACCACTATAAATAACTTTTGATCTAATGATCAGATCTTTATGTTCTAAGATTCGATCTTAATGTTTCAAGGGGGTGACCTCAAAAATGCTAATTAATTAATGTAGACAATATTTTAAGTTACAAAATCAGACACAAAAACGTGCTTTCTCTAAATAAATATACCTTGTCTTTTCGACAGATTTGGAAATCTGGTCCCCCAAAATATGGTCCCTTAATGTTAATTTTACGTTTTGCCTATTTCGTTATATCTTAAGTGAATTCAAAATTTTTTACACATGAATATAAAATTCATTTATCCAAAGATAATCCCATGCAAAATTTAAATTTTAGGAAATATTTATTATTTTATTTAATTAGAGTTGCAAAAGTTTTGAATTTTACGGTATAAAATTTATTACAATTAAAGATAGAATTTGGAGCGAAATTGGTTGAATAGTTCGTGATAAATCGAATTTTAAAAAAGTGATATACTTAAGATTTGATTCAAACTTTCATTACCTGGCTATTACCCAATACTTAGCAAAAATAAATTACTACCGGGTATCCAGACCAGGTTCTTAGTCTCAAGACCCAATACCGGGTATCCAGTGACAACAAAAATTTATGTTTGATGCAACCATATTGAGAATTATAGAAACCTTAAAATTATTAATTTGCTTAGTTTTGAAAATCTATGCATTCCATCAATTTTTTAATAATCGAACTGAAAAATCTGTTTATGCACAACATATTTTACATTTGTGCAGACCTTTATCTCTAGGAAACCTCAATAGACACTTTCGGGAAAGAGAAGAATATTTACTGACGAGAAGTGTCTGCTTAGAAGGACATGAGAGTTCAGAAATCTTACGCTGTAAACTATTTTAATTTAAGTAGATGCAAAATCAGAAATATGGAATTATATTGATATTAACTCATTGCGGGACAGGGATTTTTTTTAAATAAAACTCCAGAACTGTCAAAATTATTTTAGTTTAGTTCTAGCAGAACAATTTATTTAAATGAATTTTTACACATTTTTGTTAAATTTGTGATTAGCCTTGAAAACCACAACCCTTCAAAAAGTTAAAATCATAATGAATAAAATTCAAAGATAGAAAAATGTGATATATGTATATTACTCTTATACTAATGCTGAGTAAGTGCAGTAATATAATTATATTATTTGGGTTGGTTTTATAAGCTTGGCTGGCATTCTATAAAAAAAAGTTTCAAATCAAATATGAATATATATTAAGATTTATCATGTTATTATTAATTTAAATATCATTAAAAATCAATTTCCTAGTATATAAAAACTTGTTTAAACTAAAACAATTGTATCAACGAAAATTGATAAATAAATTTTTTGAAGGTATTTTAAAAACCAAAAAATGTACTTATTTTCACATAAAAAAAATCACATGGAAACATTTTATGTTCACATTGAAAAGCATGTCTGAATAAAATTGGCCATTGCAACTTTGAACTATATTTTTACCAGAAAGCGTGTTCCTTACTCATTATAGGTCAATAAATTCATTCAACTTCAAACCACTCGGGTAAAAGTTCCTTTACTGGTGAGTTAATAGTGAACTATTTTGGAGTTGTTTTTTTTTCTCTGTGTAAAGCACTGTGTATTTCAGGTATAAAAAGTATTTCATGAAAGAAAATTTGCTTCTTTTTTGTTACCTGATCTAGGAGATCCTTTTTCTTTTGGATATTTAAAAATGATATAGGATACAGAGTAGCAATGTTAAAATATTGGATATTCGGCCCTTTTGCCAAATATTCGGCGAAGTATTATTTGGAAAATTTTCTTTAGAAAAAGTTTTTTTCAGAGAAATTATAATAGATTTAATAAAGAGTAATCTGAAATCGTATTGTTTACTATAAATTATTAGAAATAATTTTTACACATACTTATTAAGTTCTAAAACTTGTTAATTTATTTCCTGAAAGTCACGTTGAAAAGAAAATTTGGAAGAATTGAAACTAGATTACTTAATACTGAGCCATCAGTTTTGTAATGCTAATTTTTTTCTTTATTTTAATTATATTCACGCAAGTCTATTTCATGGTTTTTTTAACACTTTATGTTTTCAAAATATAGAACTTTTTTTTTGTTTCATTTTTGCTTGTTTTTCTGTTTTAAAAAAAGCGAAGCATGTTAAGGGAGCATTTTTAATAGACTTTATTCTTTTATTGTCACTTTTTTCTTGTACTGTAAGACATAACTAGTAACATAGAATACTCTGATTCTCAACATTAAAGTTATATTTCAGAACTAAGTACAATTTTTTTTCTGTTTATTTTCTACTAACTTTACTTTTTATCTACATTTTTATTATGACAGCAATTTTTAAAGAGCATTTCAAATGAGCGTTATTTTTTATGGTCATTTTTTGTGAGAAATTAAAATTAAGAACGATTTTGGTTTCTAATAAGCTTTTCCTTTTTAAAAAACTTTTGTTTCTATAATGACACAGCAATTAAAAGGGTTTCTATTATACTTTAATCTTCACTTTTTCGTGAAAATACAGTAATTGGAAAACTAAAATGCTTAGCTTTAAATTTTCTTTCAAAACTTAAGATTGATTTTTATTTTTTTCTGTTTTGCTTTTGTATATAATCCTGGTTTTTTATAGGCGTTTTTATGATAGTGCTGCTTTTTTTAAAAGTGTTTCCTATAGATATCTCTTTAATGTTTTATGGATAATTTTTTTTTACGAAAAGTATTTTTTTTTAGCATTGAAGTTTTGTTTTAAGAATTAAATGGATCTTTTTTCTATTTTTTTTTCAACTTAGTAGCTTTAGTTTCTTTTACTAATTGTTAGTCAGTTTTTTTATCTTAAATATTTCTAATTATCTTAAACATTTCTATTAAAGTTTTAATGCAGCTAAGTTTTGATTTTTTTTCAATAATAACTTATATCTAAAAAATACTTAAGAATAATTTTTAAAAAAGTTCAATCTTAGCCGCCGAATATTCCGCTATTTGGTCAAATCACTATTCGTTACATCCTTAATACAGAGTTTGAATTGTAACATTAAAGACAGCAAAACCGCTATATAATTCTTTTCAATATTGATAAAAAGATTACATTTTTCATCATTTATCAAGAAGCGGAAGTGCAAAGCTGAGATCAGATTTTATTTCACATAAATTACATTTATAGTTGATTTAAAATTAAACCTTAAAGATTAAAATAGTTTTCATTTTATTTACCATCATTTTGTTAAAATATTTTTAAAATATCTTACAGAACATACTTAAAATATCTAACAGAATATACTCCAATAAATGCTATTGAAAATTTAATTACTTATTTTTTCCACTTCATAGCAGAGTTTTACAATTACTATTCTACTTCCAAAAGTGTCAATCTAAATTCCGTTTTAAAAAAAAAATTTTTTTAACAAAATCTAAAAAAAAACATGTTTTTATTTATGTAATTGCACTGTGGCGTTACGGTCTGAAATGCAAAGTCCGAACTACGAATCTCTGACGTTGGACTACGTAGCTTGCAGCCGGTAATTGATGTAAACCTCATGCGTGAAGGGCGAAATCAGTAAAACGCGCACAGTATGCTTTGGATATAACTTGGCCACATCCTCACAGCTTGCTCTCTCTCCCCGTCGGTTCTAGCTAGCAATCCGGCATGTTCTCGCCGGTTACCTTTTCGCAGTTTTTTTCTATGCTGCCTCAATGTTAAAGTGGTTAAGTTTTATATATGTTAAAATGTTTTAGTTAAATTTACAAGTTTCCTAAATGTTAATAAGGTAGTTATTTATTTAAACTTAGTGTTATTTATGAAGAAACCTATAACCCGTTCTCGGAAACATTTTTATGCGGAACGCTTTCCTAGAGATATATTTCTTTTTAGAGTTTAGGTGGGGATTCTAACAAAGATACCAAACAACCCCACAGCACAATAAGTTTTCTTGAACTATATCTTGTAAAATATTTTCTTGGTAAAAAAATTTTATATTGTTATATGGATGAATGTTTTACCTTGCTGGGTAAGAAATCCAAATTTAAATAGGACCAGGAACCCTTCGAGTAACAAATCAAATTTTCACCAAGTCCATCTTTACTAACTAGTACATATCGCTAAAATATAAACATTTTTACAAAATAAAAGTTTTATTAATTATTTATTTTACACGAAAAATATCTAAGTAACAACAGATTTTATGACTAAAGTTCAAATCTTAACTGTGGCAACAACTGTTTTATCAGTTTAGATCAGTTAATTTTAACAGAAAATAGCTTTTATCAACTTTAAAATCCGTAAAATTAATTACTAAAAAAAAACAAATATTTTATGTGAATTTAAATGACAATTCATTAAAAAATGATTTCTAGAAAAAATAATTCTTTAACTGTAAAAAAAGATAATTAATGAAATATATCCTTGATTTCAACTAAGTTTAGTTTTTTAAAACGAATTATCCTTAAAAGTAAAATTTTTAAGCAATTTACTAAATACTATGTAATAATAAAATTCGGTGAAATAAAATTAACTTTCACTTCAAAGGATGCTTAAAAAATTAAAACAAAAGGTAGATAAGAAAGAAGAAAAAAAGTCTCTAAGATGATAATGGGTAAAAAATTTATATGATATTGAAAAGTCGATAAATTTTCATCTATTAATGTGGGCATTTATACCTTTCTATTGTTAGACAAAACAAAGATATTTAAAGCAGGAAGTTATACTTTGAGGAATCCAAGCTCTTAGCAGAAAAGATGCCAATGTAATGTTATTCTCTTTTTACTGTATATAGAGGAAAAAAGTTTTATTTTTAAAAAAAAGATAGTTTAATCTAGCGAATGGCAAAATTAACATACACTAATTAAGTCTTTTTGTTTTCCATAACTCAAAAAATTATGTCTCCTAGGGGATGCATCATCTTTTTCTCTGTGTCCAGTCTATGATTTTTGGTATAGTGCTTAAGCATAATCACTGCTAGGTAAAATTTGAATTATAATCCATCAGTAACATATTTTTCACGTAAATACAAATTGAATAGGATTTTTAACAGACATCCAAATTGTAATTATTGGGAAGATGGAATAATCCTACATTTTGACTGTTAAAAAATTTCAAGACATTTATAGTTTTGTACTTTTTGAGAATTTAAGGACCAAAATAAAATGCGCAACAACTAGCAAAAATATAAACCTTTTATTGAGGAACAATTTAGGTAAGAGATTCTTGTTTTCATACAGATGATCATAAGATACATAAGAATACACACTGTATACAATTAAATAAAATCTTAGACAAAAACAAATAAGTGCATTTACACTTACAAGTTAAAAACATATAATAGTTAAAATACAAATGCATAGATGTAAAATAAATTAATCAGATCGATATTTTCATACATATATCTGCAGTAAATAGCATTTATATTAATATTCGTATATAATAAACAAATATAAAACTTATAAACGTATAAAAATTAACACATTTTTTATTAAATACTCATAATATAAAATTAATAAAAAGACTATCTTTCAGCCTGAAGCTACATTAAAGCAAAGTGATACATTAGCTGATTGACTTGGATAGCAATTAATAAAAGAAGCATGCACTAATTTACTTGCAAAGGTATTTTCAAGCTTTCTGCATCCTTTTTTCATTCTAGCAAATTGCATGGACAAAGAAAATAAGCAATAGCTAGTAAATAATAATAATAATGATAATTTTTCTGCTTTTGAAAAATGAATAAAAAAGAAGATAGAAATGTTACATCATGAATGTAATTCAGATGACATGAAAGTTGCATAGGAATTTGATCATTTTTGGCAAAAACAACAATTAGCTCCGTAGTGTTGCACCTTTTATAACATCTACCCACCTAAATTGGAAAAAAAAGCTAACAATTTCACAAGTATAAAAACATACATCATTAAATAAAAAAGAGAAATATTATTAGCTAATATAACGTACGACACGCAAATTAACAATTTTTTTTTTCAAATTCCAGTCATGTTGTAATATGTAATTTAAAAAATTTATAATTAGTCCCTTAAAAAAAGAAAACTTCACTATTTTGTAAATCGTCTCTGTTTTGATGGTGTTTTAATAATGCAAGAATATTGCTTTGTGACCGATATTTATATAGAGCTGTCGTAAGGATGGGATGTTTGCCTGTGCCATAGATATTTAAAAAATTTATTCCTAAAATTGTATTTAGTACTGAGTGTTTGATTTTCTAAGAAATCGAAATCATAGAATTAGAAGAATATAAATAAAATTATATAGTTATTTAAGCCAGGCTCATAAAATGCATAATTTCTCAGTTCTAGGAGCCCCGATAATGATGGCTAAAAATTAATCAACGATATAAAATTCAGACCTAAAAAAATCAGTTTGAGCTAGGTGGTCCTAGACATTATCTATGGTCAAAAAAATAGTGAAATATCAGTTACTTTTCATTATTGATAATTACAAGTTTATATTGCATTCTTGTATGCATTTATAACTTATTCAAATTCTTATTTCAAAGGGTTAAATGAATTCACTTATCATATTTCACTTTGAAAATTCTATTCACTCTTTTTGTGAAATGTTGTAATTGATGGTTAACTTCCAATATGTGGTATTCACATTTTTGTCAATTTTTATCTTATCAGAAATTGCTAAAATATTCAAGATCCTGAAAAGCACTTTATTTATAATAATTAAAAATGGTGATATGATTCTAAAAGCCGAAGAACAAGGTTTTCCAATTCCATCATTCTCATGAAGGAAAATTTGAAAATCTGAAGAAAGCTCAGCATGATTGGCTAAAGTTAATGCAAACAAAAACAAATGCCTTGTTGAAAATGAAAGCTCAGTACTTTGAAAAAAAAATGGTAATTGATAAAGAAATATTTAATTCATAAGATGGATTATTGGACAAATTCAAAATGCGACATGAATTGTCTTTCCATGAACTATGCGGTGAAAGTGGATCAGTTTATTTAGAGACAGTGGTAACATGGAGAAACAATTAATTTAAGGGAATTTTAAAAGAAGGGATTTTAAATGTATTTAACAGAGATGAGACTAAGTGTTCCACATGATGAAAATCTTTAATAGAAGATGAAACAAACTTATGTAGAAAAAAAAGACAATGCAAAGAATAACTCTCTTGTTAGCTGCTGAAAAGCACCCTTTTAGTGGTAGGTAAATCTAAATATATAAAATATTTTAAAGAGGTTAAAACTTTGCATATTTCATACAATAACAATGCAAAATTGTGGATGGCCACAAATTTTTGAAAACTAGTGTAGAATCTTAGATATTATGATGACAAAAAATAATCCCTTAGTAGATAATTGTACTGCCTCTTCTAAAATAAAGGAACTGAAATCAATTAAAATCAAATTTTTGAAACCAACACAATGTCTTTCCTCCAACGTCTTGACCAGGGAATTATTCTAAGTTTTAAGAAACACAATAGGAAAATGCTAGTACGAAGACTAATTTTAGCTTTAGATAACAAAATTTTCAAAACAGATTTGCTTACTGCATTGCATCAAATCAAATCTGCTGAAAAGCTGTAAGGGAAATGACAGTAAAAACGGTTTTCATCATGCTGGTTTTTATGATGTTCCTCCTGTAAATCATAAACTGAATGAGAATTTAGATGAACTTTTGCTTCAACATTCCTTAGATAAAATCAACTGTGATATCAGTTTGAACTTAGACATTTATGTTCAAATTGATGGTAACGTAGTGTTTTGAAGAATTGTATTAAAATATAATTTCTTTCAATAACAAACAAGAAAAGGCAGAAATCTTGTCACATAATCAAGTCGAAAGTATTTCATCACCAGCACCAAATTAATAGGTGTTTCTAAAGTGGTACAGAATAAAACATTTTTTCAAGAGAGGCAGAAAAATTTTTTACATCTCTAACTGAGAAGCAAGACTATGTTTTAAAAAAATCACAAAATTAAAACGAATTATGCTACCTGATTATTTTAGGAAAAAAAAAAACTATTTTTGTGAGATTTCTTTTCCCTCATTAAATGTAGTCCTTAAACAAATAATTAAAATTAAAAAAAAAAGCTATTATATTATAATTGTACTTTATTAACACAAAAAAACTGCATTATTTTAAATTATTCTACCAGTTTCATTACTCTTAAGTGTAGCAAGGCTTTGTCAAAGTAAGTTCAGTATTAATTTATCATTAGTAAATATTTGCAACATTTTTGTGTACTTGCATTATAACGTTCATTTTAGTTTGGACCATAAGAGTCGTTATATCAAGTGTCGACTGTCGTATAACATTTTTTAAAAATTCAATTGGCCACTTAATGCTTCACAATGTGAGGGGTCTTTTATCATAAGAAAATGTGAGAAAGAAAATTCTTTTACAGTTTGGTTATCAAATAACCTTCTTTTTGAAGATACTACACAAGAGAATTTTTCTATAAATCAAGATCATAGGCTTGGAAAAGATTTTTCAATGACTATTCAGGAGGCTCTATAAATGCGAAATTTCTCACTGAAAGTCCCTGCATATGATATGTAATTGATAAAAATTGAAATATAATCTGAAATTGGTTATACAATTTTAAGAAAGTTGATATAGGAGTTATTATTCAGCGAATATTTATTTATTATAAGTAAACAAAAATAAAACCTATCAAAATACTTATTTAATCTAATGACAGGTTTTCCAGAGACACACTATTTGAAATTCATACTTTATTATTATTTGATAATTTTTTTATAATTCTCTAACTCAAAATAATTTCTAGTTCGTATTTAATAAAAAGCAGATTCCACTTGCGCTTAACAGTCTCATTAGACATTTTCTTTACATGCTTGCCTTAGACTAAATTCACTATTCTAAGAGTAGATTTTAAAAATGTATGATAGCTTAACTCATAAATAAAATTTTACTCATTGTGTGGTTATTGAATGAATCTTCAGGTGAATTGCTAATTTCAAGGCAAAAACTTGTACTGACTAAAAACTCACATCTGAGAGCATGATAGAAAAGTTGAATTAAAAAAATAAGTTTTCTTTAATTATATGGTATTTTATTCAGTTTGTTATATCAAAGCAAACTTTCTTTTGGCATCTATTTTTGGACAACTCGAGCGCAAATTCAAATAATCCATGCACACATAATCAGTAGTATACTAAAATGCATTTAATTATTATTAACATGTGAAAGTAATTTAACCCCTTAACTGCCGCAGGCGTATATATACGTCTCGGCCAGACGATGCGTTAACTGCCGCAGGCGTATATATACGCTTTCCCGAAGTACGATGCTTTGCATTACGCTGCTATAAATAGAACTACACCCCCTACTTCAGAATGCAGTAAAATTACCTTGAAAGTGTTTGCTTTGCAAATGAATTACTAATTTTGGAGGAGGGGGAATGAGGAAAGGATGTTATGGAAAAGTGATATCGTATTAATCGCTGGCATGTCTCTATTTGAGTAAGGTTGGGTTTATTCTCTTTTCGCTTTCGTTTCCCGTGTTTATTTGGTGCTTTTTATTCTTTCCATCAATGTCTTCAAAGAAAAATGCATCGCGAAAATGTGCCGTTTGTTCAAGAAAAAAAATTCGGCGTGAATCCCTCTATCAGTGCAATCAATGTGATGTTGGTTTATGTGTCCAACCATGTTTCAGGATTTATCATACAACAGCTAAGTTTTAACATCTTTTATATTGTATTTTTATTATTTAATTAAAATTTTGTATTTTCTTTCTTTCCTTTTTCTTGTCTTGTAAAAGTAAACTGTTTTTAAATTGCAACGCGTGCATCTGTTTACCCCACCAAAACACCGCGTAAGAAAGTGCACTTGAGCGAAAAACGGTGGCACTGGGAAGTGAATCACGTAAATTTTACTCGGCAGTTAAGGGGTTAATAAGTAGGATTCTCTATGCATTAGAGCAATTCAATGTAAAAAAACTCATTCTTTGTTTACCTGTTTTATAACTAAGACTGGCGCAGTCATAATAGTCAATAATAAATAGCTCAAATAACTAATAATAAATAACTAATTCAGCATTCTAACTATTAGAATTACATTTAGAAATTTATTTTCATAGTAATATGAACATAATTTTCTAAATGTAATTTCAATAGTCTAGTAATTCCAAACTGAGTGTCATTATGATAAAAGTAAATTTCATTATGTCGTAAATGAGTAATGAATACTATTAATAAAATTAAACAAGCAAACAAACTTTTCACTTATGAAGCAGCTGTTTTTAAATGGCTAAGAACTTTATCAAAGCTATACATGTATTTATATTTTCCATATTTTCTATTCTCTTGTATTGTGCATCAAAAAATATTGAAATGAGAGTAAATAGAAATTCAGCCGAATGGAAAAGTTTAAAAAATACATTTTTTGTTATGTCAGAGGACATGCAATCAGAAAAAGTATAATATTTTAATGCATATATATTTTAGTTAACATATGTGCATTGTTTTGACTAAAACTAACACTTTTTTAATAAATCTGTCGAAATTTTTGATACTTTCAAGTAACAGTAACTTTTGCAATTATAACCACAACAACAAAAAATTTCATCATTTACTTTAAGATAAAAAGATTTCAAAAATAAAAAGCAGATAGGACAAAATAAATTTTTTAACCAATCCTTTAAAAGCAGATAAAAAATGTGTACAGAATATAGAAGTTTAAAAAGACAATGTTAGTTTGGAAACACAGTAATATACGTCTTTTAAACTTATTTGATCAATTATAAATATTGTAAAATGTTTTCAACATTCAACGAAATAGAATAAAATATACATAAAAGAAAAACTACCTTTCAAAAGTATAGTCACTTTCAGCTCTAAAAAAGTAGACATGGTTTTTGAACTGTAATTTGAAGACATTGTCTTTATTTATATTATCTTGAGAGCACGGTAAGGTAATAGTATAACCAACTAAAGGTAGACTTGCTAAAGGAAAATCATCCTACATAATGATATAAAAATAAAAGAGACATCATTAATTTGATAAAACTATTAGATATAGAGCAGGATTAAGGAAAAATAGCATAGTGATTGCCTTAAAGAGATTTGTTTCTTCAGAAGATTTTATTACATAAGCAAATATTTATTTTTACATGATTTGAATAACACTTAAAAATAGCTTAACCCAAACAAAAAGTTCTTTTTTCTGAAAATATCAGTACTATTGCTCCTCAAATTTACATTAAGAACATTTTTCCTGTTTATATATTATATTTTAAAGGTAGAATTACATACATTAAGCATATTTTCTATTGCTTGAAGTTTGATAACTTTTTCAATAATTTGTTGTAATTTGCTCTCATTCTTCCCAAACACCAAATAAGGCAATTTTTTTTCTCAAAAATATAGTAGCTTGAAAAGATTTAGTAAAATTTCAAATACCATTTCAAATAACTAAAAACTTTTCCATTTAAGACTATAGAAGAAAGAAATTAGAAAAATTTATCTTTTTTCTCCCTTCACAAAACAAACATTTACATTAATTTTTTTATTTACATTTATTTCAATCCACTATTTCTTTCTTAGTTCTTTTTTGAATTAGCCTTACTTACTATTTTGAAGAGTAGTATGGCTCTGAATCTGTTTTAAATGATGTGATTTAATTGTTATAAATTAAGTACCTGTAGTTTATCTGTTTGTAATACAACAATTATAAAATATTTATGTCTCACTCCTGCCACATATAAGCTTTTCTTTTCCTTTTTTTTTCAAGGATTAATTGCTGTAATATTTTCACACTTTGAAACATCAATATGTTTCACTGCAACCTTTGTCTGACTTCCCAATAATTTGACATCGGGTTAAGGCATCCAAATGTCCCCTACAGGATTGCCTGTTGGTCAAATGACACTGAGGCAGAAACTGGACATAGTATATTGTGCAATAGCTTTCATGGAAATTATACCCACTATGCTGATAACTTTCTACCCTTTTTAGGGAAAAATTTTCTATTGGTAGCTATATTTATGTTGTAATGTGTGATTCTTTGTTTTATAAATTTAATTTAGAGTTATTTTCTACACCACTACATAAGAAAGATTCAAAATTGCATATGAAATACCACTTTGTTCCTGTTCTCTCATGGTAAGGCTTTTAAAATGTTGGCAACATTACCAAAAATTCTAAAACTTTCATTTTTATTTGCTTTACACTCTATGAAATATTTTGCAAAAAGCATAGTAGTTGGCAGCCCTGTACAACCATACTCTTGAATTAGTCACGCTGTTGGCGTATTGGAATTGCAACATGTTGTACAAAAACATAGTGTATTGGTTTTTTAGCTTCATCCTTAAATTTTGCACACCAGTCTATTAGTCCATACAAAATTAAAAAATGGGGTAAAGGTGAAAAAATATAAATTAGACTTAAATAAAAAAAAATAAACACATTAAAATGATAGAACAAATAACTGAAACAAAACAAAGTATTAGTTAAATGATTTTCTAAAAAATAAAAATATTACAGAGAAATACCAAAAGGCTATCAACCATTTCTTAACTTAATAGACTTTTAAAAAGAAACCCATTTAATTTAATAAAAACTTTTGCTAAGATAGTTTCGATAAATGTAGCTAATTAATTTTCTCATGTATTCAAAAAAAATAAAACAATTTATTTTATTTAATAATAGTTTCTAGCTGTAGCTCATTTATAGTAGTATATACTTTAACCCACTGGCGGCTTAGCAAATGGGTGAAATTGGGAAAAAAAATTTCCCAATACACCACTTTTCTATCTAATAACGTGGGAAAACCGATTTTGCTGTGAGGAGAAGACTGCATTTAAAATAAAGACTTTTTACATGCAGAACTGTCAGTTGGTTAATACTTTAAGCCTTCTAAATATAAAACTATAATAACAAAAGTTTTAAAAAATTCAAAACTTACATAAAGCATTTATTATAAACAATTGCCTAATCACTGAAAAGTTTCAGTTTAATTATTCTTTTAAACTATTGTTTTTTCTAAAACAAAACTTAATTGAAGCATAAAAAAGTACACTTTTTTTGTAAAATATGTAGTGACTTTTCATTTTGTTAAGGTTTCTGGATGACCATATTTTATACTAATATTCATCTTTAAAGCTAGTCAAATTATAAAAGTATACTAAGCAATAAAGAAAATATCCACTAATATAGAACCTCAATCTACCGTTTCTAACAGGTCCACTTACTGCAATGAAGGATACAGAAAAGGAGGTTACCTGCCACCAGACTAGTTTTAATTCACTTTTAAATTAAGGTCACAATAAAAAAAAAATTCCTAAAAACATATAGGTGGTTAATTTTTAAAATTTCATTAACTTTTTTAAACATTAGAAGCAAAAATATGTTATTTTTAGTTGATTACCATCATTTGAATAGCAATTGTAAGAGAACCATAAAAACAAGACCATACATATGGAAAAACAAAAGATGCAGGGTGAATAGATTGAGGTTGAACTGCCTCTTGTTGTCAAGTTTATAAAAGTATCAAGTAAAACTTTGAAATAGTTAAAAATAGTTACATAAGCTTACCTGATATGACTTATAGAAGAAAAGGCAAAAATTTGTAAAAACTACCCATAGTTTCTGCCAACCACTACTATTTTTAAATTTTCTCAGCAGATATCCACTAAGATAATTCTAAAACAAAATATATTTAAAATAATTTTCAATAAATGCTGTTAATCATAATTTAATATGCTCAGTCAGTGTTTCCCAAACTTATGACTTTTGAGTACCCTCTCTAAATTTTTCGTAACGCTGTGTACCACTGATAAAAAAATGAATGCATTTTTTTAAATATGTTTATTTTTATTTTTTGGTACAAAGTTTTGTTGGTAAGTTTATTTGCATCAATGAGAAGGATGATATTGCTTTTGCTGTGATAAAAATAAAAATTGCACAAAAGTTAACTGGTTGTTGACACCACTAATTATCAATTATTAACTGTTAACTCTACGAAAAATAGCCAATAGAAAAATACGTAATTGTAAATTTTCATGGCTAGCTTTGTTTTTAAATAAACAATTTTGAAATTTTCGTTTGTTGCAAGATATTTTGCATAAGAACGAGTACCCCCGCTTAACGGTCCCCGTACCCCTGGGGGTACGTGTACCACACTTTGGGAAACACTGTGCTAAGTAATTTAAGCAATTCTTGCATTAATTTTAATGAGCCAATAATCAAAATAAATAATTCAGTGAATAATAAGTAAATAAAAAGGTAAATTTTATCAAATTCCACTACTTCTTAAAATAAGTATTGCATGGCTGTTTATTAAAAATAAAAATTGGTAAAACTGATTTAGCATATACCATATTTTTTGGCGAAAGCACCACAGCGCTATTGAATAGCGCTAAATATTCACCAATATCGTGATCTGCTGCAGAACAATCGCCAATTTTTAGTAACTTTCGGCAGCGGCCTGCAAGAAAATAAATAAACGAAACAATAATAAAAATGGACCACATAAGGATATCAATTTAAAATGTATGTATCTTGTATCCACTCCCAGCTTAAAAAAAGATCGCAAGCTGGAAATCCACTTAGCGCCTTTGCAATTGTAATGGGAGTGAACAGATAAGGAAGTATCCCCTTTTCCCCAACACCTTTAAAAATAACCGATTGTTTTCTCCTAAACAGCTTCAGTAGAAATGACAAGTGGAAGAGGTGGTATACACCCCTGTTTTAAACAGTTTCTTCTCCTCTCTTTCTAAGCTGAGTCATATTGTGTTGTTTCCATTGGAGGAGAGGGCATTCTACCCACTAAAATTCCACCCCCAAAGATTGTGAAAGTGAAATTCATTTCCACTTTGCTCATTCCTTCTTGAGAATGTTTTTGGTGCGCTCTTAGTTATTTCTTATTCCTGTTATTAGGTATTTCGATTATTATTTTTCCTTATATTATCCCTGTACTTAAGCAAGCTGAATAACTGAATAGATCGGCAATGGAGCAGCAGGCCGAGAATTTGAGATAGACGAACGCTGCATCCGTCGATGGAGAAAGGAAAAGCCAGTTATAGAAAAAATGCCTAGGAATAAAAGGGCCAGGAGAAGTGGAATAACTAAGTATCCTTAACTAGAACATAAACTAGAAGAATGGATGGTTTCGACCATTAGGATGAGTGAGGCTGGGTGCAAAATTAATTGCCAAAATCTTTAAATCTTTTTTTTAATTAATTTTTAGCTTAAAAATTTTTCTAATTGCATTGTTTTACAGATTTATATGATCAGTTGCAGCTTTAATTCTTCTGCTAAATATAGTTGAACTATTTTTATAATCAAAGAATAATTTACTTTCCTGAAATTTGAGATTCTCCAACCTTTTTCTCTCTAACTCCAACCTACCCAACACAAGGTTTTCACCGGTACCGCTGAGCATATAAATATTTTTTTTCTGATATTTGCTCTTCTGAAGTAAAATATGACAACTTTATTTTTTGGCATGGTGCCAACTGGTACGAACAACTTTACTTTACATCGTTTTGTTATTTTTTGTAGCTGAAAAAGAAAACTGTTTTAACATGAACCCTTTGTGTGAACTCTTTGTTAGCGCATTTCAGGCTATTCTCTCCCCCCCCCCACCCAGATAATTTAGATATTGCGTTATTTGATGCATTTAAAAATATTTTGGTGCACTTAATATTACTTTCAGACCACTTAAAAGGATTATTTAACCCCCCACCCAGATAATTTAGATATTGCGTTATTTGATGCATTTAAAAATATTTTGGTGCACTTAATATTACTTTCAGACCACTTAAAAGGATTATTTATTATGCACGCTTATTCCAAATAAACCTGTATCAAGGATGATTTAGTTCAGTCTTGCCTAAACAGTCTACGGCCATAAGTGAGCAGACCTGTTAACGGATTTTTTTTTTTTCATAATTTAGAAATTAAAACTTTACTTTATGAAAAATATAAGAATCGCGCCTCTGTGTTGCTTGCCCCACATTGGCTCTTATGATAATTTTTTTAAAATTGTTCCATTTTTATCGTTGTGCCGCGCTTGCAAAGATGTGCCGCTTTCACCAGAAAATACAGTATATAAAAATTTATATAAACTAATATATTAAACAAAATAAAATTTCATACCAATAAAGCTCTTGTATAGTCTTCTTTACCAACAGTAGTATTTCGATGCCAACAAACATGAACAGTAGTATTAGAAAAATGTTGATAAGGCTTTCCTGAGCTACCAGTGGCAGAGACAGCCTCAGTTGTCTGAACATTATCAGAATGCTGTAACAAATCCTCTGATGAACCTAAAGAGAAATTTCATACCCACAAAACAATTTAAGTATTAAATTTAGAAATCTTTCAAAACTCTACAAAAGAATTTTTCTAAAATGAACACATCTGAAGAAATGTATTTTATTTTTAGCAATAATGCAAAACAGCAAATATTACATTTATACAATTAAGATAAGGAACTCTATCACTTTATTTTAATTGATTATTTAAGCTAAAATATTGTGTAATATAAGTACTATTAATAATGAAAAATTATTAAAAAAAGATTTATTTTGGATCTTTTATGGGGTCATTTTTTCTTCGTAATGTTTTTCTTAGTTAAAGTACTTTTGGAATTGAAATTAATTTATAAAAAGAAACTCATTAAGCTTCGTTCTACCAAAAATTAATTTCATTCTTAAGAGGGTAGGTGGGTGGAATTTTCGAAATTTTCTCTACTGTAAAGAATTGGCCATAAACTTGTACTTCTGTGCTTATAAATAACCAAATTTATAAATTCTGTTTTATAAATACAAATAGACTCTGTGACAAATGTATAATGCAAAAGATAAAATAGCTGCCCAATCTCAGCGTCTTCTCTTGACATGTAAGTGCACATTTGTGGCTTAAGACAAGAGTAACTAATATCAAATTTTGGCAAAAATGAAATAGGCAATAGACATTAAAAAATTACAACTTTTAACAATTAAGTACAAAAAGTTTTACTTTAACGGAAGAACTAGAAAATGGTTACCATCGAAGTTTTTGTTATGTCATGAACACGAAGGAATTTATTCTGAGAAACAAAAAAATATGACATTTTTCTACTGTTTTCACCTCTAAAACAGATTTTAATGTTAACAGTAAAATACAATAACAATATAAGGAGCACTAAATAAATATATTCTGGATAAGGAAGGACAAAAATTAAATGACAAACATACTTGATCTGAACTTTAAATTAACCGATACTGAGTTACAAATGGAGTAGAATCACACAATCTTGAGCAAAAGAAATAAAAACCAGACATTCTAGTTGCTCACAAACTTGACCTTAGGTGCTTTGTTAGAATAGGGAATACTTTTAGTTTAATCTCGATAAGAGTGCTTTATGTTGAATCGGTCAAGAAAACATTTCATTGCCCTAAATGATGTACCACTTCTCTTGGCTTATTTGAATACACCCATTAATATCATTTTTAAATCAGGTACAGCTTCTTTAAAACTTCAATTGAGTTCCTGTAAACTTCACGTCCATAAACTTAATTTTTTTATAACTAATAATCAGCTTCCAATGGTTAATATCAAAAACATCAATAACATATTTAAACAAAATTTTGAATATCAAATAACTATCAAATAAATTATTCAAACATTCACAAAGTACTTACTGCAAGATCGAAGACTAGAATAGAATAGTGCATCATCATGAGATTCTTTTGAACCTTGTATAGTTTCATTTAGATCAATCAACCATTTCTGTTTTTCTGTTTCTAAACTGAAATTAAATTGATAAGAATAAGTCAAATATCAAAATTATCAGTTCTTTGTTACATCATGAGAACTAATTATACAAATCCAAACACTCTTGTGTTCAAGTTGAAAACTTATTTGTCTAAAAATAATTTTTTGCAAAAAACAACTTTTATCCAATATTTATTCTTTTAACTTTATGATTAGTATGAGTAACTGCATGATCTAAATACTGCTAAAGTTATAAGATATTTATTTAAGTATTTCTTGAGAAAATTGAAAACGATTTTTTTCCCATCATTGAGGGGTAGTGTCTAAAAAAACTGACAATAAGTACAAATGTAATTCAAGGAGTAAAAAATTTTTTTCACTCACTGCACAATGGGCAAAAAAAAGATATCACCCTGAATAACTTTTGTTCTAATGATCGGATTTTTATGTACTAAGTGTCAATCGTAATAGTTCCTGAGTGTGACCTCAAATATGCTAATTATTTAATCCTGACCATTAAATCAGTTACGAAATCGGACACAAAAACTTACCTTATCTGAAAAAAGATATCTTTTTTTTACATGTTTAGATTCTTAACCTTAAAGAAATATAGGGAGCAGCCGCAATCTGGAAAATATGGTCCAAATAGTTTGGTCAGGAAAGCGATCCAAATTTCAGAACCCTTAATGGTAATTTCACTTTTTGTGTTTTTAGTCATATTTTTAAAGCTAATTAAACAATTTTAAAAAAATTTCCCCCACTCATAAAACACATTTACCCAAAGATAATTTCATGCAAAAAATCCTTTTTAATAATTATTTAATTTAATTGAGGATAAAAACACTTTGAATTATGAGGTATGAATTTTTTTATACCATATTAATCTAAATAAGCCAAAAAAAATTAAAATGAATTGTTTTAAAAAAATAATTTGGTAACAATGAAGAAATATTTAAATGGAGCGATTAATATTTAAATGTGGTTAACTGACAAGGAACTTGACTTAAAAGAGCGTAAAATTTCATTAATATCTTTTCTCGCTAATAAGTGATTGCTAATCTTTTTTTATTTCTTCTTTTTTTTATTATAAAATACGGTGCTACGTTTTTAGTCATCTAAAAACTTATTCATAATTTAGTAAAGAAATTTAAATAAAACATTTTATTGAATAAAAAAAAGCTTTTTCAACAACTGTTGAGTTTTATAAAAGCATGTTTTTGATAGAATGTGATTTTACATCAGATTGTAATAATGTGATTATACAATTTGAATATTACGCATAATAATCATAGATAGGGCTGCAAGTTTGTCGTGGGTAAAAAGACCCCAAATTCGCGGAAAAATCGCGGGAAATTTTGAAAATTACACAAATTCTAAACATAAAAAAATTTATTACATAAATGATGCAAAAGACAGAAATTGCGCAAATAATAAAATAAGCTTAAAAATACACAACAAAAGTATTTCTTTGCATTTCAAGCAATATTAATATTTTTATTTAAATCAACAGAATTTTGGTACAATGTATTGTACATTGTCAGATTATTCTCATTTATCCTTCATCTTTCATCACTTAATACATTTTTATACTTAGAAAACGACCTTTCTGCATCAAAGCTGTTTTTAGGCACCGACAAACTTCGAATTGCCACTTTTGAAGCTTTCGGTCTTTAATTTCCAAAACTCGATCAATTTTCCTTCACCAACGCGTAATTCCTTTACCGTTGCTTTGTAAGAAGTAATTGCTGTGAAAACTCAAACTACTTCATTCAAACTACTAGATACAAGTCCCTAGTAACTACTAGTTCCCCCCCCTTCATCTAGAAACTGATCCATATTTAAGAAATCACAAGAAGTCGCCTAGGAAAAATTAACTGGATATGTAGGAGGCAGTAGAAATTTCATTGCCCAGTGCAATAGCATGTATAACAATTTTTCTGTCTAAGATTTGATTTATAACATTTTCCTTCTTTTGTGATTCTAATTTCTTTCGTACTCTTACTGACTTCAGGAAGGTAATTACCCTCCTTAGGTGTAGAAAGACCACCTTAGTTGACAAGATTGTGATTATCTCTTTTCTCTGAACTATTTTCATGTCATTTTGCTATTGATTCACTCCCCTAAATATCAAATCAATTTTACATGTTCAATTTAAGGTTCAGGAAAATGAAAAATTCTGTTTCATAAAAATAATAAATTTAAAAAAAATCACATTTTAAGCAATTTTCGCGCAAGACATATTGAGAAATTCGCGGATTTTAGGGAAAAAGATGACAATTTCGCGGAAATCATCGCGGAAATTCGCGCCGCGACAAACCTGCAGCCCTAATCATAGAGTATGCATAGATTTGGAATAATATATTAATCAATATCTTCAATATATATTTTATAACTATTAATACGAATACGTAGTCAACATTTCTAAGCATCTTAAAATTTCTCAACATCTTATATATCATCTTAGTTTTAAATTAACTACCTGAAATAAATTTTTTAATTATTTTTAAACATCTTATATATCATTCTAAAATTTCTCAGTATTTTAAATGGCGTCCTATCATCTTAATTATGAAATTAAATTTTTAGTTGCTTGGTCACATGTGATTCACAGTACTATTCAACTAATTATTTCATTATATTTTTTACTTTTTCTTTATGCTACCACGTAGATTTTTTTATATATACTAAACTATTTTTTTAAAATTTTTATTAGAACTTAAAGTTTTTCTTTAAATTAACACTTATTTTAAGTAATTGCTAATTTTTTTTCGAGTCTCAGAACTATATCCAGTTAGCTGATATGATTTTAAGAACATTTTCTATGTTAAAATTAAAATTACTCAGTGCAAAACGTCTGAATAATCATAGTAAATAAGTGCAATATTTTCTCTAAGACTGAACAAATTATTTATTTATTTACCTTATTGTTTTATATTTGTTTTGTTTGTGAAAATTATATACATATTAGTGCAACTCAAAAAACTACAACTGTTTGCTTTGTTTTTAAAATGAACAAATTTGAACCACAATTTCAATTTGATGTTTAAATTATTAATAAAGTAAAATTAAAGAAATTTAATAGCATTAATTAATTCATTAATTTTAAGAAAGCTGCTCCTTTAAAAAAAGATAGTGAAATAATTTACTTTTGTTAAAATTATTTTACAACTTTAGCACAATTCCCACGGTATTATTATAGCATAATTTACTACAGTCGACTTGTGTTATAACGACCCTGTGATAGAACGACCAACATGATATAACGACCCTGTGAAGCACATCCATAAAAGATAACGTTATTTTACTCTTGCTATAACGACCATAAAAAAGGTAAACTCTTAATATAATGACCCTCTCTGAATTTGAACACCGCTCTTTTCTAACTTCCTATTGGAAAGTGGGGTTGAATGGTTGACCTTGAACAAGCACACCTCTGTTAAGTCCTGTTTCCTAGAATCCGAAGGTCTCACAGGGCGTCAAGACAAAGCGATTTCAGTTGGCTAGTATGGGGGTGTGTAGACAACAAATGTCATCGAGCATTGAGTACGAGCCGTCGAATCGGGTGAGTTTGTTTACTCTTGCCCCCTCCCATAGCCGACACTCCCACCTCTTTTCCTTTCCTTTGCCTCTCCTTTTCAGTTTCACTTTGTTTTTAGCTGGAAAAGGCTTTTGCATTTGATTAAAGTGTGCTGTTCTTAATTTTGCAAGCTTGCATTTCAACACACTGATTTGTCATTTGATAAAAATGCCACCTTTAGTAGCTAAACGTTGTGCTTTATCTATTGATGTGAAAAGAAAAATTTCAGAGTGCATCGACAAGAAACTAATGCCTAAAACTGAAATCGCTAAAAAATTTGGAATACCTAAGAGCACTCTGTTCACAATAGTGAAGAACAGAGAATCCATTTTAAACGCTGCACCAGAAAGAATGCGACTCAGAGAGGGAAAATTCCCTCTTCTTGAGAAAGCCCTTTCAGACTGGATGAAAGGCATGCAAAAACATTCCTCTGGATGGAAACGCTTTAAAAGAAAAGGCAACAGTTTTTTTTGAAAAACTCTATCCCAATGAATCCTTCAGAGCTTCCGATCGATGGCTTCAGAACTTTAAGCATCGGCATGAAATAGTGTTAAAAAAATATGCAGGGAAAGCTCTTCAGTAAACAAAGATACCGTGCGTATATTCAAGGAAGAAACTTTTAAAAAAATTATGGAAAACTATAGTGAGGACGATATTTTTAATTCAGATGAAACTGCACTTTTTCATAAACTTTTACCTGATAGATCTTTAGTTTTTAAAGGTGAAACATGCAAAGGAAATATGCGGTCCAAACAAAGAATAACTGTTCTGCTTGGAGCGAATATGTCAGGTAATGAAAATTACTATTGCTTGTAATTGGTGATTCGCAGCGTCCACGCTGTTTTAAGGGTGTAAAATCTTTACCTGTGGCATATCGTGCCAACAAGAAGGCTTGGATGACGAGTTCCCTGTTCGAAGAATGGCTTTGAATCCTTGATAAAAAAATGCATCAACAGAGCAGAAAAATTTTGATAATTGTCGACAATTGCACTGCGCATTCAAAGGAAATTAAAAATTTGAAGGCGATAAAAGTGGAGTACCTTCCCCCAAATGCGACATCAGAGCTCCAACCAATGGATCAAGGTGTGATCCACAGCTTCAAAAGAATCTATAGGAAAATGTTGTTTCTCAAAATTTTATTTCATGTGGAAAACATGAAATTTGACGTTGATCTGCTGGTTGCTCTACGAACTGTAGAAACCGCTTGGAAAGAACTTTCAGTAAACACCATCAAGAACTCTTACGTGTAGCGAGGAGTTCTTGATGGTGTACTTGATGGCGAGGTGTTCTTGATGGCGAGGAAACGAAAATATGTGTGGCGAGGACATGGATCACTTAGATGACCTTGACCTAGACGATGAAATACTGAAGGATTTTTCCTCCTATGTAAATTTGAGTGATGCCATGAACAACTCTGACGAATATGCAAAGGTCGACGATGATGTACAATGTACAGA